TATATATATACAGTATATATATAGGCCTATATATATATATATATATATATATATATAAGCATATATATATATATATATATATATATATTCATATACATAAATATATATATCAGTATGATAATATAATATAGAATATATTCCTATTTGAGCACTGTTATTATTTAATATTAATCTATCAGTATATGTATATGTATATATAGAAATATATGTAGGCCTATTATCTATAGCATAATTATATATACACATATAGGAATATGTTATGTAGGCTTATATATGCTTATATGTTATATGTATATTTGTATGAATGTATACTACCGTTATATTTTTTCTACATAGATTTCATTTTAGCGTTAGTAATAGCATTGATTCTCAGCTTTTCCTTCGAAATATCAAAACGTTTACATCGAAATGGACAGCTTCGACTCAGGATATATAACCATAAACTTTTGAAATTGAGACACTTAGAAAAGAAGATCAAACAACTGCTGGATCCGTGTGAAGTCGATCCTACTAATTGCCATCAAGCTAAACAATCGCATATACGTATGTCATGTGACAATGATGACCAATCAACGAGTGGATCCGCTCCCATACCCAGTAAAGAAAGTACGCTATTGGAGGAAACTATTTTTAGAAATCTATCATTTGATCTTGGTGATAATCGATGGAGTTTTGATGGATCCGATATATCAGATATACAATATAGACATACTGTATACAAAATTTATAGAAACAAGTGAGTATAAATTGTAGTTATTTACTTTAAATCAAATATGTAGAATAATAACCGATATGTTATTAGGTATGTAACAAAATAGTGAAAATGATTAAAGTATTGAGCAAAGAAATAACATCAAAAAGGAATTTCGGTTATTAATTTGATCCGTGGAGGAAATATAAGCTATCTGTAAGAAAATAAAATAGTCTCAAATACGAAAACTAATTCTATTATATCGTATTGCTGTGTGACATCAAATGTGCCGCATGCAATATAGCGCTACCTTAAGATGTCCCTCAAGTGTTTACCGTACTGTAGGCTTAACCTCTACTCTTGGTGCTTAATCATTAAGTGGTTTAGGGAATTTAGAGCATTCTTGCACAATCACCTTGCGACATTGAGATCAGAATAGGCCTAATGTGCAGTGTAATGGTGACGGCAAAACTTATGACATGAAACACTTTGGAAAAGTAATGTTAATTTTATTTATTTATTTTTAAATTTTTTTCCTGAAAACCATCTGTTTTTCATAATTGCGGTTTTATTTCAATCTTTTGTTACAGGATAATCGTGCATTTTCTTCTATCCCTTCTAAACTGCATTAAGTTAGTCATCGGATATTTCCTTATGCTGATTGTAATGACTTTTAACGGTTGGGTTTTTGTATGTGTTGTGACGTCGGCAGCAGTGGGGTATTTTCTATTTGAAAAGCGACAGTACGACGCTGGGATGCCACAGGTTCGTAGGACCGCCCATGTGTTAAATGCGGCAGAAATGAATGTTTGTCATAATGCAGAAGCAGTTCCACTACATGCACTGAAAAAGAGTATTTCGACAGACGTATGAATAACGTAAGTCTAAATGGATAGTATACCCGATTTACGGCAGATTTAATTCGATCATGTGAAGACAGCTTAGTGTCTCATATATTAACGGATTTTGAGAGGACACGGGGGAATTTACCCTCATTTTGCTACTGCCACTTTTTGTGGGGAAAAGGGGAATACTGTGCAAATACAATGTGTTACAATAATATTGTAGCAGCTTATGGATATTAATTTATTCATATGTAACTTACTGTACATCTCAACGGAACCAGAACCAAAATGACCGCATTTCCGGCAAAAAGAACGGATTTTTCAGGGGGTAAGGCACTAGACTGCCCTTCCTATAAGCTGCGAGTCATTTCCGTTCCCCTAGATTATGATCTTGTATAAAGCTCGGTTTCCATAGAGTCGCTCACCCTATCGGCGACAGCATTTCTAGCTGCCCTGACTCAATCGGGATTGCACCCCGATTCGTCTGCAACGCAATCGGCAAGTTGTACCAGGTTCAACTTTCTCGACTGTCGCCAATAGGGTGAGGGATTCTATGGAAACCGAGCTTTACTATAAGTAAAATAATAAAATATTACAGAAAAAACTGAATCTGTACGTTATTATCTTATTAAATAGTAGCATCATAATACTTTAATATTAAATGTCACAAAAACCTGAACATGGTTCAAAGTTTGAGCTATTTTAAGAGAGCCGCAATACAAAATATTTTCCGGGAATAAAGTTGTTTTTTTTTAGGGAGAGAAACTCCCACCCACTGGATGCCACTATGTTTGTATGCCTGTATGTATTTATGTAGGCCTACGTTATGTAATGTATTTAGCATTTTTTATTTTTGCATTATGTTATGGTTGTTTTAAAGCGCAATAAATCTCCAAATAACAATAGTGTAGTATTATAAATGACAGTGGTGGCGACAGCGGGGGGGGGGAGGGGGAATTTCTTCCCCATCCCCCACCCCACCCAGTCGGACAGGCCTGGAACCCTGTCGTCGGATAGAAAATAAAAATATAATAATTTGCCTATCCAAATAAAGTCATTTTGACTCCGCAATCCCTCATAATTGTGTCTAAAAGCACATTTGAACCATACTAAGCCACAAAAACTCTCTCTATTATATAAGGGAGATTTTATTCCGGGCCGTCGACCGAGGCATCGTCAGCTCCTTGACTCGGACCCCTTCGTCGGACATGTCACACTTTTGTCAGCATATTTCTGGCGCCACCTCTGATAAATGATATGAATTGTTAAAACTGTAAATACTAATCACAGCAAAAGTGTATGAAAATGAGTGCAAGGCATTAACGAAGGGAATTCGAAACCACAAGCTTCACTTGAAGGGTCACACTGGGTAAAACGCAGACAAGTTTTGTTCTCGTTCATCAAATGAATTTGGAGGCAGATGAATTTTTTTTTAAAGCAGTGTAGTCACGGAAAAGAAATTAAGCACAAAACTTCGTTATGATCCAAACAAACTCGGTTCTTTAATTCCGTATATTGTTTGGCGTTTAATAATAAGGCAAGACAAGTTGCTAGTATTTTGACCTAGAGTCTTTCTTCCACATTAAAGAGACGAAATAGAGAAATAAATAAATAACAAATTATTACATCTAACCTTAATTTATAAGATAAAAAATATCAGTGAAAGAGAAAAAGAAGTAATTTTTGTTAAATCATTATATTAATTCTGAGTAGGTACTAGCTTACTGAACTGCAAAGGAGTAACCTTAAATTGTTATATAATTTTAAATGCAAATATGTACATGGAATCTAACTGCAAACTTGTAGATTACGAAAAGAGAGTTTGTTTAGAAGTAAATCACGTGATATAAAATCAGCCATTCTATCAGATTATTTTTATCTCTCATTAGACAACGTGTAGTCAAACTTTGATAATATGTGCCAATATATCAATATTTATAATAGACCGTTCTGCTAGTTATTGAAACATGCATACTATTCAGAAAACGCAAGTGTTTGCAGAACATGCACGTATCCATTGCCCTGTTCTGATTGGTCACTTGTTCAGTTTGACTGACACTCCAGAAAGGTCCACTGTACATCTACCAACAGACATGGAAACACACAGATTATGTGTTTGATCATGGACCTATAAATAGGTCCATGTTTTGATCAAATAATTATATCTGATCGAAAAATTTGCCTAAGGAGCCTGAGAAAAACACATCTTACTGTTTAATGTAGAATATAACATAAGTGTTTGCAACTCAAAGATTTGATATTCAAATCAATCAACCAAAGAATTAACATAATTATTGATATCATAAACAAATTACAGACACTACTATAATTAATGAATAAGAAATGTAACAAAGTCTCTTGCTTCAAAGATTTGAAATTGGGATCATATTATAATATGGTATATAAAATAAGGTTATGACCTATGACCTATTATGTTCACAGGTCAACTGATGTTACGATACTTATAAATAGTTTAAGCTGGTGCTAAGGTGTATGGTTATACATGTTATACAAACCATTTAAAATATGAAAACATGTATCAGGGTCATTATAGTCAACAAAATTAGTCTAATTATGGTAATCAATAAACTTATTTAATTCTTGCATATTACACTTTCAAACATAATCAATGTTTAATTAATAACAAAAACTATATTCTTCATTTCATCAACTATATTCCAATTATCTCTATATATAAATCACTGAAATCAGACTCTTAATCTTGGGAAAAAAATAAGGTAAGATTCAGCATCTAATGGTAATAAATAATTCATAATCATACTCATACTACATCTAGCATATCAATATTTACAAAAAAAAAAGTTAAATAACATTAAAATAAAAAAAATAAAGCAAACAATAACAAGTGGCACAAAATAATAATGGAAATAATAACAGGCTAACACTACTGACAGTAATAAATAATTTGTATTCATTAAAAATTTAATATAATTCATCAAAGATCTTAAAAAGTAACCAAAAACTGGTTTATTTACAAAGAACTTCATTTTAACTAATACATCTCATATATTAATATTCAATAATAAATATAAATTCAATTAATAAAGTAACATTAACAATTAACAATAATATTAATAATAATGATTAATATTTAAAAACAAATTGATATTAATAAAAAAAAGTATGACTAATAACAAAAATAATTATTGAAGTTATAATGAAAAATAAAAATAATAATAGTAATATATTCTATGTTAACAATTAGATTTCTACCCTTTCTACAAGCAGCACTTATAATTAGTTATCTATAGGTATCACTAATTCAGAATAATTACTTTACTGCAAATATTCAGCAATAATCTCACAAAATAAAATTAACTGTTTTAATTACTTATATATTAAATGTTTTAATTACTTAAAAATCTACTTAAATATTTGCAAAAAATACAAAAAACTTTTACTTAATTATTTATATTAAATGTGTATGCTTTCGAACACATAAGAATTATAGAAAATACCCAAAAACAATACTAGGCTAAATAAAAAAAATCTATATGTTTTTTGTCTTGCCTTTATCTCTTTAAGATAAGGCTTCTTTTTTCCTTCATTGAGACAACACACCAGACACAAAGTCACATACCTAGGCCTATGGCAGGCCTAGCACACACAGACACTCAAAATTACTGAGTGTCCGTGCGTACTAGACTAGGCATTCTAGACTTACGCTAGGTCTAGCACTCAAAGATACTCACAAGTAAAAAAATGATTGTGTTGGCCATGCCCAGCCGACCCAAAATGTAAAAAATTGGGGTTCGACATTTTATTTTATTTTTTTTTTTGACTATAACAAAAAATATTTTTTTAATTAACAAAAAGGCTGGAATAGGCCTATCTTGCTAGACGGTAGGCGATGCGACAGTGTTATGCGTTCGTTTTGCTCTTCATTATAGATTTAAAAATGGTATTTTTGTGTATTTTATACTTTTTAGGCATAAACACGTTATTGGTTAGAAAAAATAAAATTAAAAAAAAAAACAACTTACCGACCGACCTTACCGACCTACCCATTTTTTTTTATTTTCCCGAAACGTGGCCAACACAAGAATAATCTTTTCTGGCCTTGTGAGGATGTTTGAATTCCTGCAGGATTACTCAGTCTTGCCATTCAAAAGTAAGAAACACATTTTAAAATATATTTGGCCTTATTGTTTATAAACTGTACTGTTATAAATTCAGAAACTATATTTTATCTGACTTAAACAACTTTACAATATTTAAACCCTTATACTGTGAGAACAATTCTTGATTTTCTCAAGCAAACAAAAAAATGTTTTAAACAACAATATAATACACGTAACTATACTATTATATACATTATGGTACTGTATCTGCATGTATATATACACTATCATGGAATGACTACGAACCAAATATGCAACTAAATCATTAGGCAAAATAAAATCTTTATTATTTACATATATTCATCCACGTCTGCAGTTACTTCTATATTTTTTTGTTAGCTTTCATTTTCTTTAATAGATATATTCATCTATGTATATCTACATTTCTTTTTTTTATTCCTACTTCAGTTTTGAATAATCTATTCTTATTAAATTATATACCTTTACACAAATAATGTGATTAACAAGATGCCAATATTGATTCTTACTTATACAGTATGATATTTGTATCATAATAAAGAATATCAATTTATAAAATCCCTAAATAAAGGGATTTGCTAAAACAATAAATCTTTCATACATTTTACCATTACCACCTCATAGGTAGATTAATTATGAGTTTCGTTTAAGCAAAACATGCTCCTGGATTATGAAATCCAAGAAATCCTTTTTTGTTTAATTTTCAATCAACAGTGAAAACATGTATTTATCGAGATGTTTTAATGTACAATATGCTTGCAGAAATAGAGTAGAAAAATTTAAACAAAAAAGAAAAAAAAAGTGGATATGACCTCATCTGTTACTATTCACACAAAGGTCAGAAGAAAATTTGTAGTCAAGCTGTGGCTGAGAGTTCAAGATTTCAAACCCAAGGCCTTGAGTTAAATTCTGATACCATCAAATTATCATACTAAGATATAAGCATTATTTCTGTTATCATTTAATATACAAGTGTTTATCATTTAGCATGAGAAGCTGAGATACACTAGCAAATAAAAAAAAAAAAAAAATAGGCAAGTTCAGCTAAGTTACATGGTTACATAATCATGTACGATAAGAAACATTGGCTGTACTTATTTTTTTATTAATAAGAAAATATTCCATTACCATTGCTTCTTAAAGTTTTTAGCCTTAACACCATCTTGATTTACTGATTTATGTCTTGTTAATCTATTCCATTGTTAATTTCATATTGCATTTCTTTATCAAAACTCCTGCTGTGTTGATAAACAATTTGCTCATCAGAGGGTACGAAATATTAGGTGCAGAGCGCCTAAAATTTCTTCAACTCACCTGTGTATCTCAGTTTTCCATGGGGGGAAAAAATTCAGGAATTTTATTTGAACAAATAAAGAAATATATATTACTGACTAACTGTAGTAATATAATGTATCAGTATTTAAAAAACTTAACATTTCTTATTTCTTTCTTCAAGTAACACAACAACAAATATCAAACGCACACATACATTTTATCTACATGTGAATTGGGTATTAGGGATAACATCTAGTTTTCACTTCGTCCACATTTATGAATTTTCTGTATTCTTCATAGTTTTCTTAATTATTAATAATTATATGCCCTCGTTATTCACAAAAAACAGTGCTCGAGAAGGTAAGCTAGGATACCAACTTGTGACATTACATCCGACATGCCCATAATAGACTGAAGAGGGTTGCCTGGTGCAGGTTTGTGAGCTCCTGGTCCAAGAAGAGTCGGTCCAAATACCGTTGCCATATTCTGCAATGACATTTTGTTTACTTTCTGCCTCTCTGAAACTCTGCAAAAGAAATCATAAGAAAAACACTATTGATTATATATAATAACAGCATTATGATTTGTAACAATTAAATATATCCAATTCAGGGTTTTTACAAACATGTGTGTTATACAGGGATGAAATACTACAAAGAATACCATATTTAAACAATCACACAAGAGAAATTAAATTTTCAAAGTAAAATTGACTTTAAAAATGAAGACTACATACAGGAATATTAAAATAGATATTAGAAACAAGATTACATAGAGGGCTCACTATTACATATCCATTCCTATATTATATATTCATTCATTATACATTCAAATTTGTTTACTACTAAAAATTCCATACCTTTTGATATGGTTAAAGAGGGCAAACACAATGGATTGATTCGCAGTTGGTAACCTTTTAACCAATGACTTCATCGTATTCACCTTAGTTTCTTGATGAGTCAAATCTGGAAAAAAGGAAGAAATTGCTGTTTGTTCATCATCACATATATCGTTTGACTACTTGTCATGCGTAATCCATAGTTTTTAAGGTTAAGCTTTGTCCAGAATATCAAATTTTCTTTGACAATAAAAAACTTGTATGCCCATATATAGTCATGATGTGCCTATATATGGTCATGATGTGCCTATATATGGTCATGATGTGCCCATATATGGTCATGATGTGCCTATATATGGTCATGATGTGATGTCATCGTGACCATATTTAGAAATGTTTTTGTCAAATATTATTTGATAGTCTGGACAGGCCAGGATGTTAATTCAAAATCGGATTTCATTGTTAAATAGTCTCCCAACATTTTTTTTTTTAAATCTACACAATCCGTCATCATTATTAAGGTCATCATTACAGTCATCATCACCATAACAATAATTATTATTATTACTATAACCTGTATTTTTTATATTCAAATTTATATTTTAGACTCTAATTGTACACTTCAACATGTTGCAGTTTCCATGAAATCGCGCTGGGCAACCTTTTTTGTCACTGTATATACGACAAGGCTTAAAATAGCAAATTACGATAAAAAAAAAAAAACAGAGGGTCATCTTATATGCACGACATACAAATTTTAGATTTTTAAATCAAGTTCGCCCGTAACACACAAATTTACAACCACAATGAAGGTACTAAATGTTAGTAGGAATTAATGCAAATTTAAATACAGATAAGATTTTGATGAACACTGAAAAACTCATAAAATTGTATTATTTGGAAGATTAGCCTTGCATTTAGCTCTGTATTTTTCCAGCTAGATGCAATATCAACACATTAAAAAGCAAAAAAAAAAGGATTAAAACAGGGGGGTAGTCTTATACGCTTAACATACAAAATCGTCCAAAAATCTTCTCAAACTCAGGGGTCATCTAAGTCACCTTATACACAAGTATATACGGTATGAGGTTGAAACTGTGTTTGCATATCGGATTCATTTAAAAACCAATTAACCATGCATATGGTCACTTTGAGAAAAAAAAATCCAATGCATAACATTCTCATTGGTAAAATTAATCAACGTCTTTGATAAGTTTAAATGAGTAAACGTTGTAGGAAGCATAATCAAACTGTTTTTTCCCCGAGCAAAATGTCCAATGCAAATACATACATTCAAATACTTCATGCAGTGCCGATCTATTCAAAGAATAGACAATGCATGCAAACACTGTTTAAGGGAGTGAAACTGCTTTAAAGAATTGCCTTTAAATCTTCAGTAAGCACTCCAGTTTCTGAGTTAAAAAACACACAGATCTGAATGCCTACACAAGTTGCTTTTTAAACATACCACACTACACAATGACAAAAAAATGTAAATAATGATGTACTTACTAAGGGCTTCCACAAGTTTAGGGTAGAGAATATCAGTGAAGAGTGGCTCAGGTAGTTCACGAAAGTACAGCTTCATCAGACCAGCGACGGCATGGATGTCTGTCTGGCCCAGCATGCTTTCAATACTTTTATGATCTATCAAAAATAATTCAAAAATACAAATAATTAGTGGTAGTTGATAGGAAGATCAAGATATAGACCATTAGGCCTAAATCTCAACAAAAATAATAATTAAGATCAGTTAAATAGCTTGATGGCAAGATGTCTGCCTTCCAATACCAGGGTCCTGAGTCGAATTTCTGTCACGGTAACAGGAGTTTTTCTCACGACCAAAACCACACTCCACTACGTAAGCCTCTTAACAAGACTTCGTCTATGTACAGCATATTGGGTGTTATGTTCCTCTTGTGAAGGGATTGCCACTTAAAAATGTTATTAATGATTACAAATGATTGAGAAAAAGATGAACTTTGTTGTTAGGCATATCCTTTACCTTTGTGTCTAACGCCGGGCACTTACTGTGTCGAATGACCAACGCGGTTCAATGAAGAACGCAACGCGACGATGTGCTCACAACGGATCGTTTTTGATGACGATCCATTCCGACTGCCATCGACAATCAGCGTTACATTGTCTAACACTCACAGGGACCGGAGTTGGATTTGTCGCGTGGCAGTCGTACAACACAGCGAGTGGCCGGCTTAACGTTAAATAATACTTACGATTCTCAAATGCATTTTTCAATTTTGCCACATCTCCAGATGAGCCAGATATCCTGTATATTCCAGTTTCTTCCAAACCTGTAAATAAAAATAAAAATTAAATTAACTATTACTTGAAACAATGAAATATGTAAGGCCGAATAAAAAACATTACTAGTTTCTCGCACATTCATTTTCTCTGCTCAAGCAAATTTTTTTTTTCCACTTTATTTAAGAAGTGTAGGAAAATCTGGCTATCACATCAGTTAAATTTCTCTCTCAATTGAGGCATGTCGTGGCGAAATGGTGTTGTCGCACAGGCCAGTATTAAGTAAATGAGCTATAAAATATGGGAGCTTAAAAAATTGCCTAAAACTCCAAATTTGTTTTTTACTATATATCAACCATGGACGTATTAATAAGAAGGACATACAACGTAGTATTACCCTTTGATCCATGATCTTTTTCGACAAGATAAGAGAGGGGCATATCACCATCAACAGTTTAATGTCTTATTATTAATGTTCCAAAGTATTAGTTCTGGAATTGGTCAACAAATCGTTTATTTAACGTTATTTTGATAGTTATTATTGAAATTTTTGTGTTCTAGACGCCCGAAAATAACATTAGAGGCATTCCGGGCTATTATTTGTTTTTTTTTCTTTCCTTTTTTAGTTTTTTCCCTTTTTCTTAACCTCCCAAAAGGGGGGAGGGGGCCCCGGGGCCGGCCCTCCTTAAATCGGCCCTTGAGTTTTCAAAATATTAGGATGAGAAACTACTCCATTTTTTTTTACTTGGCCTAAAGTAGTACAGTAATACATGGTTAGAAACATAATGGATCAAATCTACATCCATACTACATGTTGAAAGACTGGTCCCTTTGTTGCATAAGAATGGACCACCCTGCTGTTGACTAGCATTTGAGTTCAGAAAGTAATTTTTTTTGTTTTTACCAAATTAAACAATAGAACTTGCCCAACCCCCACCAACCTCAACAGGGGTTATACTCCAGACCTCTGTCAAGAACCTCTAGATTTCCGCTAAGTTAAGGCTCCCTTGGACACCCCTCGGTGAAATTCTGATGTCACCATTGAATCACAGTCGACCATTACACACCTCTTTTCTCAACCTCCTGTATGCACAGTGAGACGATGTTTGGTATCTGAGTGCGTTCCCGTGCAATAACTTGCTGGATGCGGACACCGAAGACACCTAGTTTCCTTTTTGACTGAACACGCTTCAGTGTCTTATGTGCAGATGTATACTTGGCAGACAACTTCACTTCAATCTAAACAAAAAATTTGAAATATATGTTTATCTTCTTGTGTATATATATTCTTTTTCATAAAGAAAAGAGGCATACCTAGTAGTTACTGGTCCAGTAACTAAATGTGTAGCACTGGCAGTGGCATAACTAGGGGGCCCACACCACCAGCCCCCGCTGCCAATTAAAATTTTAAAAGTGAAAAAATCAATCTAGTAATCATCGAGCCCACTTACTTCACTTTCGTGCCCCCTCCATTTCAAAGCTTCTAGCCACTGACCACCGGGTCCTGGGGCATGCTTGCATATTGGGATTATGTGTTATCACAATTTTTCATTATCATTTCTGATCGCTTAAGGATGCAGTTTAATTTTTTGTTTATTAATAATTATCTTGATTATCATTTTCCATTCAAAAAAGGCGCTAAGCCCCCAGAGGCACATCGATCGTAGGCCAATACGCACCAGATACAGAGGAATCAGACTCGGATGATCAACATTAAGCAAGAAACTAAAAACTGCCTATATGTTATTATAGCAAAGTGTAAATATATAAAAATATTGTTTTTAAATTCTTGTTCATATTTTTCTTTTTGTTTCATTACTAATAATATTTTAGTAGAAATATTTCTGTATTACCTTTTCCATCTTCATAACAAATTGTTCATGTTTATCCCTCATTTGTTTTGCTTTTGGCAACTGAATATTTTAAAAAAACATACAAAATCTATAAGTTATCACACATATTCAATTACATTTCTGTTAAATATTTAAATATTATAAGTGTAAATTCAATAATTAACAAAATATTAAAATGTACAATTCTCATCAAAATATATTTTTAAAGGGAAGATCTGAATTAATATAAAATATACAAAATCTTGATCAAAACTATTTCACGTACCGTGGTGAATCCTCTGTCGTAAAACTCAGTTTTTCCATTTTTATTTTCATAGCAAATTATCCTTATGGATCGAGCACCATCTACTTCTAGATCAAAATCCTAAAGACACACAGAGAAGAAATTCAATTAAAAAGAGAATAAAACAACTGTATTATTATTATTATTATTATTATTATTATTATCATTATATATATTATCTTAAAGCTCTCAGACTATCAAATTTTCTTTGACAAAAAAACTGATGTATGGCCATACAGTCATGATGTGCCTATACATCCCTGGTTGTTAACACTCTGCCTGCCAAAACGGAGATCTTTGTGTTTGGTAACACAACCGTTGACCGCCAAACACGGAGATCTCTATGTTTCAGGTTTTTTTACGGAATTCGAGAGATGGGGTAATTACCAACATGTACTAATTTGAACGCTATATTCAGTCTGGACCGTAAGTATTTCACTATTTGTTTGTTTACATTGGGCGTAGCGGTAATGATGTGCTTTCACGAAATCAAAATTATCTCAGCTTTGTTGTGCGAAATTGCAAAAGTGAGTCATTTTCATTTTATGGTTACGGGTCACAGATTGTGATTAGAAAGTGTTTGATATCACTGTAAAGCTAAGATCTTTGTAGTTCTTGTAGTATTCATTACCTGTCAATCTGATCACATACGCACTCTCAACAAACTTCGGAAAAATGTTAAAATTCGCTAAAATGTCTGGCGGTGGCTGATACTATTTTTTAATTTCTTTGGAGGACCAAATTTTTTTTAGAGAAGAGCTCACAGGCCAAATGGAATCTACGCCTATCTGAGGCAATATAAGTGACATTTAGTTAGGCCTATGCATAACAAATGTTAGTTCAATTAAATGATGACGCTTTGAAGATTACAGCAGAATATTTTGAACAAAATAGAACATTGTACATCTTATAATCATTGCACAACATGATTCATCCAAAGTCCAACAAAAATAAAACATCCTGCGCCATGCCATGGTGCGCCCTCAGGTGGCGGCCGTTCTCTCTCTCTCGGCAGCATGGTTGTTCATGTCGGTTCTGTGTGAATGTCACGTAAATAAATTCCTTCTATAGTTCAATCGTGTCCGTCGTTGGTTTTTGGTGTGGTGAATATTTTCTTAATTAATGGCGCATGGCTGTTCATGTCGGTTCTGCATGAAGGTCACGTAAATAAATTCCTTCTATAGTTCAATCGTGTCAGTCGTTGGTTTTCGGTGTGGTGTATTTTCTTAATTAATGGCGCTGTTTTAATAGGAACAGTCACTTACAGTCCATAACCATAACAATACAAAAATAAGGCTAATTCGAAACATAACAATCAATATCACTTAAATGACAAACGGATGCCTTAGCAATTGCAGTAAAATCCTGTGTCAGGGCTGTCAAAGATATAAGCATCAAGTCCCTGAGATGCGCATTAATAAGTTGACTTCTATATTTGTTTTTTTTTTTGTTTTTTTTATAAAAGTCATATTTGAAAAGCCGCTTTCACATGTTCATGTACTACCAAACATGATTAAGATGGTGATGGCTAGCTTTTTCAACACAGACCTTGCATTAATAGCAACGTCCATGCACCAAAATTCTATCGTCGTCATTGGATACAGAGTTATCAATGCTTACCGCTACTTCACAGCAAGAATAAGACCAGAGAAAAACGATGTATAGCAATCAACAACGCACTCACCACCTTCAAACCTTCCCCAAGGAACATGACTCAGGGTTTCCATTTTGGTCTTCACTTTATTTCAAAAATATTCATCAAATTATTATTTATTTTTTATTTTAATGATTCAAAAAAAATTATTATATAAATTTTATTTTTACGCGGGCCAGACTAAATGTCGCTGCGGGCCAAATTCTTGATACCGCAGCGGTATCAAGAACCAGGGCTATATATGTTCATGCTGTGATGTCATCATGACCATATTTGGGCATGTCACATGTTTTCTTAAACAAAATTTGAGTCGGAGGGCTTTAGGTGACTGACACAGGCTCTGAACACTGATAACAGGGTTCGAATTCCTTGCTGTGCATGTCACTGGCCACGGCACTTCATCTAATTGTCTCTCTCCACCAAGGAGAACAAATGGAAAGGTGTTGTGGAATTGAAAAGTACTGGTTTGTGCACAATATGCTGTAATGTAACGGTGTATAATAACCCAGAAGTAGTGGGGATATTTTAATTGTTTATTTTGTATTATATATTTCAATTTCAAATATGGACCTTTTATGTATGCTTACATATTTTATTTCATTTATATTTTTAAACTAATATTTGGCAATTCTCATAAAAACACATATTTAAGCACAAATAGAACAGCAAAATGCAATGAATTTAACTGAATTAAAATGCCTGAAAAAAAAAAAACACTGCATATTTTATGCTAAATTATAATACTATATAATTATACAATTTCCTTACTTTATTCCATTCCGGTTCCAGAGTCTCCTCTGTGGAATTGGTTCGAGCCATTAGTGAGTACATCCCGTATGAGTCAACTTCAATGACACAAGACAAACCTAAAGAAAAAAAGTAAAACCATAAAATAATTATTGATTACATCATAGAAGAGTGGATGGAAGTCAACCCAATAGCAGATACAGGAATATCTTAAGTGTTCCAAGGCATGAATCCCAGGCTAAGGCTCTTTGGAGCCCTACTACAATGGGGAAAAGCCCACCCACTTTGGTTTATTTGACATTTTATATATAATTATATATATATATATATCAGAAAGGAGAAATGTGCACCAACTTACTCTTTGGTTCGGACAATCCAGTTGCATTCAAAACCACCACCTTCAATATGCCACTCAGACTTTCTTCATCTGTTGAAATAGGAAGACAATGATTATACACAAAATATCCATCATAAGATATGAAAAAATAACATCAAAAATCAAATAAAAATACTCAATTTGAAAAAGTTGCTAATATAATAGAGAAATGCAGAAGTTATACTATATTATTTGACAATCAGTTAAGAAAAAAAAAATCATTTTTTCACTTTCTTTAAAATTGTTAAGTTTGACCAAAAAGTTTAGGGCTCAAGAAAGTGAGGTGTTTTTAGTTTTACAAGAACAATTCCTGTAGAGAATTTCAACCTAGTGGGTGTGCATCTCAACTATTCAGCTACAACTTCAACATATTTAACATTATATAATTTTAAGATATTTTCTAATATAATATTTTCACATATTTCTTACCATCCTTCAGCAGAATTGATCCTATATGATTCACTTTGCGGGTCTGTTGGAAATAATTCAAGAAATGTAAAAATTTAATTTATATTGTTCGTATGTTTTTAGGTTTCTTTGACTTTTGTTCCAAACATTTTAGTCAAAAAATAAATATGCTGCAAATGTTTTTTTTTTCAAAGATTCAGTTGTTTTTATTTCTCAGTCTGGTAAAGCTGGATGCACACTATATAAGTGAGGCAGGACAGCAGGGAGACTGATTCCACCTCTCAAATAAAGCCATCATCAAATATATAGATAATCATACACAATATACAAATATTATTTACATATTTAATAAATATGCAAAATGTGCGATAGCCAATCACCATATGGAGAGATAAGGATGTTGACTTTTTTAACAGACATAGAAGGATTAATGTAGCACGTTCAACAATATTATAACATAAACAAGCAGTACTGCGACCACAATAAAAGTTTGCAAATTGTAACCTACCCTTTTACATTTAGCCATCACTTTGTCAAGATGGAAAGAAGTCAGAGACGGTGTAAATGTGCATTCCCTCTTTGCTTTTGCAATTGCTTCACGCCATTCAATTCGTTCATAGTCTGAGGACATCAGTAGTGTGTACGTCTGAAATAACAAGAGAGAAAAAAATACTATAATGTATGTAACCTTGTACAGAACTGATATAGCATCTTCCAGAGATAGGTGTTTGTGACACTTTTAATTATTACCTGTGGTCTGCCTTACATTGTTTTGAATCTGAAAACACATCCATTGAACTACTATTATGACTGTTCACATCTAACTACTCAGGTTTTATGTTTAAGTAGGTACATCCTGCAAAGGACTTAAAGGTCCATAAGCCCAGGGTAACAGGGGTTCTATAGACCAATACACCGGGGTAACCAGTGTACTGGGTACTGGGTTCTCAAGTGCACTTGGGCCAATTGGGTACACTGGACCTATGGTGTACAGTCCTTATCCGAGAAGACTGGTTCCACCACCAGAGCGTGCCGTTCAAACCAGCGCCTATATTATGACTACAGATTGCAACGCCTATGCCTTAACCGCTCGGACATTCGACTCACCTAATTCCTATGGGGTCCTTCAGTTAATGAATTGGGCAGTAAACTGAGAGACAATTCCCTGATCTTATCAAACTGATATTAGATGACTTAAAAATATGTCAGAAAATGAGATTGTTCTGTCAATGAATATACTATATTAAACATTACCTTGCCATGTTGATGGTACAGATGGAATGGGAGGTTAGGCGAGGCCATAACCATTGTTGCTTCCTGTAAAGAACAACCAAAAAAATTTTTTTTAATTATTTCAAAGCAAAGCATAAAATACTGGATTAAATTTTTTTGTATTAAGAGTGAAACATTACTATTATTTACATTAACAATCCAAACTGCCATAAAATACTCAGGCATAAAGTAACTTAAAAACAAACAACAAAATTTAAACAGAAACCAGTTTGAAGCCAATCAATGGGTGGTTTTCACTTCCTTATTTACCTTTTAGCAGTCCTATTCAATACAGTATGTTTTTCATAGTATAAATAATCCAGAATTTGCGCTACTGAATTTGATATAGGCGGAAAAAACTTAGTATTCAAAAAAATGGAGACTAGTACAATTGTATTCTTGCTCTTATTGATGGAGTGCTTTGGTTTGTATACTGAACATTGGCAATAGAAACTTATTATGACGATAATTGAACTACACATTGCAAACAACTGATCCATTGTATTTTCACAATTAATTATTCTGGGTTCCTGTTATGAACAAACCACCTTTAGAAAGTACTATACCAATGGAATTATCATTTATTACTGTATTTTATAATTTTTCTACAATATCACTTTCAAGATTTTAGTATTTTATTTTGTTTAAATTATAAAATAATACCAACTTTAAATTTCATGTTCATCATTGCAGCTTTCATACTTAATTATATACTTTTTCAATTCTAAACCAAAACATTTATTTTTATTTTATTATATTTTCTTTAAATTCTATTTTTAAGGTATCTCCTGATAGCAGCTAATTTTGCATTACATTATGGAAATTCTGAAACCTAGTAAGGTTCAGCTTATCACCATTTTAATAAAAATTGTTTTTAGTTTTTTTTATTTTCACATTTAAATTTTAACTTCATTTGAAATTGTATTTGGTTTCTTTATCCCTGACCAAAAAAACAAATGAAAATTTTGATAGATATGTCTAATAATGATTATAAAGGTGATTAAAAAAAAAATGTTATACAGAAAAAACTTAGCACTTATCATAAAATACATTCCTAGATTGAACCCAAACTTGACCAGAAGAGATGCACCTGAACCAGGAAACCATCCAAGGTCTTTGACAAATGCCAATGTTCAAAGGTTAAAGGTCAAGAAGTAAATACCAAAAAAGAATTTCTTTTTCCTTATGCACACTGATTAGGTCAATCGCATTGTAAATATACATATATTTGTATTAACCAGCACATGTAAATATACATATATTTGCATTAACCAGCACTTGTAAATATTATAGGCAATACCTTCAGGTCTGTTTACTTACAAGTTCTTGTAGCGTTTTCTTGTGTTTGGTTGCATTCTTTCTTAAATTCCTCTATAAAAATATTTCAAAAAATCAACTTATGAAGTATAAAGCTGTTTGAAGTTTGTGCACAATTTACACTTGTCTCATTTTGTTTTTAAATAACATACTTTGTAAAAAAAATCTTTATATGTCATATTAATAAATTAATTGGTTAGTTTGACAGTCGTTGCTTGCCAGCCGTCTTCAGTTCAACTACATTAGGACTTGATTTAGTCGTAGTTAGAACTTTGACTACATTGTTTTATGAATACAAATGAAAGTATAAAACTAGTTGAAATTCCAGTTCCAAGTTTGACTATATTTTTTGTTTTAAGATTACGGGCACCTATTAGTGACACCTTTGAGACCACAATGTTCCCCTAATAGAGTACCCCAGTCGTGTTGTCACAACGCCACGAGGTACTCTCTGTTGTCAACAGACGTTGGTTACCCTTCATTACGCCTGAATGACTTCATAGGCTTTATGGAATAGGCATTTTGAAATCTAATATTTTACCATAAAAAATGTACTAAAAACACAAAAGCTTGCATTATATTAGTTATCGAACACACATTTAATCATCAATTAAAATTTACAAAGAAAAAGTAAAATATACAACATCTTAATAATTACGTTAGAGATTGGGATCAATGGTTTGGCAGTGGAGAAAATGGCGCCCAGTTGAATGTTTTTAGCAACGATAGCAATGGAGTAGTATCACGCGGTATTGTGACGTAACACTGTAGAACTCTATTTGGATTTGCACCAAATAAGGGTTACTGTAGATATATTTTTACTTGCTTATGGCTAAATATGTTTCAGAAATTGTACTATCAACCTTTGAAATGTTTTTCAGAGTGCTTATGACGCCACTAAATGTTCAAATATATCAAAAAGTCTGGTTTAAATTTTCTCCTGAAAAAACATCACTCGGAATTTGTCAGACTTTTAACCAAAAAAAAGTTGCTATGCAATGCAAAAGCAATGTGGTCCACATATGGTATTAATTTATGATATTAAAATATCATAAGCACTCTCAAGAAGGCTGAGAGAAGCAAATTTTTGTTTATTTTCTAAAAAAAAAAGCATCTGGAATTTCTGATGACTTTCTAATAAAGAACGAAGCAATCACAAACAAATTAAATTCTAATAAAACAGGTTCAAGTCTGTTTCATCAAAATTACATTCAGTCAAACACCATGGGAAAAAAATTTTAAAAATAAGTGACTTTCCACGAAGTGAATAAAATTAATTTGAAATCTCTGAACTAGACTCTGTTTATTGAGTTGGTTTATAATAGAATTAGAATTATGAACAGTTTAATATCAGCATATCAAAATAATTAGACATTCGATGTCGATTTTAAAAGAAATTTCACCTGTTTTAATACATTAAAATATTATGTTTGGTTGAAGTCAATGTTTAAAATTAGTAAAATAGGCCAACAGCTGTTTGTGATCCCACAACGACTGCAAGTGCTCTAATACCTTACGAAGGGGACTATATTCTTGAAATAAGGCCAGTCCCAAAGCCTCCCAACAGCATAAATTCAGCCTGTGCAGGGCCAGATTTCACTCTCGACAGGCTAAGTAACCGAACTAGGGAGGACAAATTCCCTGTGACAATGGCAAATCGGGCTTCAGAAGAACACTACTATTTACAAAAAATAAGTAAACATTTTGAATAGACAAAAAAAAACATTATTGGTCACTGCCCTATTTGTCAGATGGCACCTGACCCAGGGGCGATTCCAGAGATGTCCGATAGGGGAGGCCGAAAGGGAGGGGGGGGCGATCACTACCTTAGGGACATCCCCCGCAAACTTTTTGTTTTCTAGACGCCCAAAAATAAAATCTGAGGTGTTTTGCGCGATCTTTTTTTTTTTATTTCTTCTTTTCCCCCCTCCCCCATAAATCTGCCCATGAACTCCGGACCACTTCCGCTACTAATGTATTATATATAATACTTTAGTATTTATTATCTTACCTGTCCAGAAGCCCGCTTCAGCTGGGTCTTGATTGTGGTAAGTTCTTTCCTGAGTTTCTTAATATCTTCAGCACTCGTCATCTTCACTACAGGCTCACCTGATTGGATGGTGGGAGTGGCAAGAGTTGAGAGTGACATAAAGGAATACAACGAGGAGGACACATCAAAGTGGTATGGTGCTATATAACAGTACCCAAGGGATGGCAGAAAGCAAAAGGAAAAGAAGAAAAAATATTGCTAAATGATAATGGGTTAAGTGCAATGGTATCTAAACAGCGATTTAGTTAAGCATTACTAAGCATTCATTTACTAATTTGCATATTAATTAGGTAATTTGAATAATGAAGTATATCAGTTTTGCATAATTAGGTGTTTTCACATATGCATAGGTATTATGCATGCATGCATAGTTAGTTATTTACATATGTACTTTACACATGCAAGCAGATTTTTGCATAATTAATATTTTTATAAATGCATTTAAACGGTTACACATTCAGTAGTAGATGCTTTATAAATGCTTGCGAAGGATAAGGGAATATGCAAAATAAAAATCACATGCAAGTTTAACAGCTGTACATGTATGACTGGTCACTTTTTGTATCAAGCTTTATTTTATGTATAAATGATATGAAACAAGTCAATTTAATAGAAAGGATTAAGGTGTTGCACTACACTAGAGATAATTAGAGATGATTATGTAAATTATCTTAATAATGATGATGATAATGATGATGATGATGATGATGCATGATGATGGTGATGATTACGATGATTACAATGATATTGATGATGAGGGTAATGATGGTAGTGATGATGATCAAGATGATAATATTGGTAACGAAGGTGATGGTAGTGATGATGATAATGAATGTGATGATAAGGATACTGATAAGGATGCTGATGATGATAATAATAATAATAATAATAATGATTATGGTAGTGATGATATTACTATCAGTATCATTACTATATAATGATGATTGTGGTGGTGGTGAATGGTAGAGTTTGGTGGTACTGTAGTGATGAAGATGAAAGTGATGGTGATGATTATGATGAAGATGATGATTTTTATTTTTTTGATGGTGATGATAATAACTATTTGTTTTTGAAATCCTCTTTCATAAAGCAACAAATTGCTTGCCTACTGTATGTTAACGAATATGTTATGCAGGGGTGTGTTTTGTTCCTTAGTCTGTTAATACAGTAAGTTATTTATCAAATTACTTTAGTATAAGGTTATAGGCAAAAGTATACAGTAAATGAAACATGGGTATAATAGTCTATTCCAGGGTGATGATATTGTGTTGTAGCGTTAGGTAAAATAAAAACGAAACTAAAAGACAAGCAGCCGAAAAAAATGAATGCGGAGTTAAAATCTTGCAAAATAGAAATGTTTACTTAGTGAAAAATTGTATAAGAAAAAAAAAAAGAAATTATAATGCGGGAAAAGCAGAACATGGTAAGATTAGCAAAGCAAAATGTTGGAGGGAGCTGTTTATATCCATACCACAAGATGTCCCATAACCTAAATTCATCAATCCACGATTCTTCAAGCATTTTTTCATGATTTGACTTAAATTAACTTAATCTAATATCAATAACAACATACTTGTTAAACAAATATATTAGTATAAATTATGATAGACAGTTCAATATAATATTTGATTTAAATAGTTGTTTTTCATATTATATATTTGTATAAATAATATTAGTTGCAGTCTTCCTTCTTTCTGTTAATTAGGCCTAGTTATTGTAAATTATAATTTGGGTCTGCCGCTTTTTCAACTTTGAACAGTGACACAGTATATAAGTAGAGGGTTAGGCCTACCAAACTAAATCTGGAGTAGACTTTGTAACTGGGACTGTCCTTCTCCACTACACCCACTTTGTGAAGGAAAGGCTTTTAATAAAATATCCTTCATGCGAAGGGATTAAACCGCAAACTAGCATCATATAGTTGAGCCCTACAGCCTACATAGCCTACTACAGCCTGAATAATAGCAATATACATGTATCAATTCACCTTGCATGCGCATTCACAAAATGGCACCCCAATCCTTTTTCACTTTCAGAGGACATAAAATACCGAAAGCCCTAGATTTTTTTTTTTTTTTTTTTTTTTTATGAGGGGTAAATTTGCACTTAATATTATGTGATATAATACTGCAAGAAATCATGCATGCCTCCCCAAACCCCTATCCTCTCTTTTTATACTGAGTGCCACAACCAATCTCCAGCATCCTTTACCATAGCTTCTATTGGTTTTTATCAATAACAATACACCTTTGATTAACAACAAACCTTCTGATTGGTCGAAAGGTGAGAGCGAGATTTCGGTGAGAGGGATACACCATTTGCACTCGTACTGGCCCTTCTGTTTTTCTTGGGTAAATATAGCTCTGGAAGAAAATGGAGACATTTAGCCTCAAACATATTTTATACAATAGGAAATATTGGATTGGATTGGATTTATTTGGTGTAAACACCAAGGATAGCCCACGAAAGTCTAGAAGAAGACTTATTTCCAGTGGGGTCTTTCTGGTGGTGATTAGACAGTACACCGGGAGACAATCCCCTACTCTTTTCCGAAGAGTGTACTGTGTTCTTTAATGTGCACATGGGCCATAAATGCACATGGGACCAACGGCTTAAACGTCTCATCCGAAAGACGGTGCGCTATGTAACTTGTATTTCAGCCCCCTAGGTGAAACACAAGGAGAGGCAGCAATGGGAATTGAACCGGGGACATAGAGATCCTCACGGTTCAGCGCACACACACAAGCAACCTCCTTCTCAATAATACCTCCATGATACAATAGACCTTCCCAGGATGTCAATCAAACTTAACAACTGACCAATCAGAGCAGGGCAAGGAATACGTGCGGATCTAACAAGCAAACGTGTTGTCCCACGAAGGCACCTGTTTGCATATGTTTAATTTAACACTGTCATTCTGTGGGACCTTGAAATAAGGGGGGTGGGCTCGGAAGAAAGTTCCACTGTTGTTGTATCTGCTGCACTGCTTTTCTTGTTGTTGCTGCTGCTGTTGGTTTTGCCAACACTTCTTCCGCTGATGTTTTTGTTGATATTGATTTTGTTGTTGTTTTTGTTGTTTTCCATAACTTATTAATATAGGTTATTCCATAACTGTTGTTTGAAGTAGCCTATGCTAGCAATAGAATATATTGCAGTACTATTTTTAAACCAAAAATTCATATCGTCTAAGCATATGCACTTTCATAGCAGATCAATTTTTAAAATTACAAAAATGATGTCAACAAAATTATTTAAAAAAAAACACATCATGACTATTACAAAAACATTACAGTAACCTAAAACAAAATATATTTCTATCAACCAACTTATTATTATTATTATTATTATTATTATTATTATTATTATTATTATTGCATTTTAATTACTAAATATAACTTAAATCCTACAATAAATTTCAATAAGAAAAAACAACCAAATCAAACAAACAAACAATAACAATTAAATAATATCCAAATAATAGCAGGGATGCATGGTGAACAGAGATGAGCTGGGGCCACCCAGTCTAAAGCTAATTTCATGGCCCTCCAAGCACCCTTATTAACCCACTTTTCCATTCAAAAAATCCACTCCTATATTTAGAGTTTAGATATGTTATCACGCAACCACTCTCGAAATGTCTTCCACCCACCCTCCTTTGTTTTCTTTAGGTACAACCCTGGTAATAGTTACCTTGTGCTCTTTTCGGCCGCACAGATTATGACATCATTCCATAGAAGAACGTGGCGCAAACGCCTCTCACCCTCATTCCATTCTACTAAGTAACTTTCCTTGATCAAATATCGTTTCTAAAAAAGAAAATAATAATAAATTAATTTTAATAAGTATTAAATATAGTAAATCCTAAAGAGATATGGTAAAATTTATATAATGCAATTATTTAGAAAGGGCACATTGTTGGTATATAGCTGTCAGTATAAAAAGGAAATAAATAATAAATTATAAATAACCAGATACGCTAAAAATTATATATTGTAATGCAAGATTTTGGAAAGGCTACATTTCCATAATCAACAGTTTGCCTTCATCAGTGTTATTTTGGGTTTTTTTTTATATTTTCATCAACAAGTTTGAATGCCATTTGAATGCCAATAAAAAATAAAATTAGATAATCAATCAATCAATTAGTCAGCCGAAGTCGGTTAAGACCTTAAGATTCTACTTCAGTTACGTAACCCCCTACCCTTCTGAAAAATTCAATGGGTTCTTCAAAGTGCACACGAGCCAGATTTGTACACCGGACCTCCATTTTAAGTTCTTATCCAAGAAGACTTGGTTCTACAAACCGAACCCTGGTGGAGTAGCACCTCGTCCACTCGACTTGCCCAGTGTTATTTTAATAATTGATTATCCTTATTGCTAATATTATTCAATAATTATTATTACGAGTAATTTAGCTTATGTGTTCTTAATAGGAGAGTGGTTTTGATATAAAAAAAAAAAAACCAATTGACCCTTCCCATAGGATGCAGCATTAATTTACAAGATATAAATGTGTACAAAAAGAAACACATGCAGCAATACATACAGTAAACTTCATAAAAAACCAGAATGCAATCGTAATCAATAAAGCGTAAATTAATCAAAAACATATGACTGAAAAATAGCCAATATGATACATGCACAGCCCTAGGCTTTGTAGTCTGTTACAATAACACGAGCAGTCCTTTGTAGTTTATATCTCCTTTTGTTGTTTATATCCCCTTTTGTTGTTTATCAAAGGTGAATTGGATTTTACTGTACCAAGAACAAATTTGCATGAATACAAGTTTTAGCTTCCTGGTTGCTTTATGAAATCACGTTTATTAGCGAAGAAATTTATACACTAAACTGTAGGCTACTTCTTACTTTACTTATTGAAACAGACAATTAGCTATTATACTTTATATTCTATCATACCAATGTACCTATGTATTAAGTGTTTTTGAACGTATCGCCTACAGCATTTTGTGCAGAATCAACCATGTTAAATACAGCGCTTAAAACCCTATTAAACTCATATATTTGTTTTGTTTTTTTTAAGAAACCATATTTATATATGGTGTCCTTTCCAGCGCATCCTAGAAGGTCTGCTGATGTTCAGGGGCCCTCTTAATTGAATGAAATAATCTTATGCTTTATCAGGGAAGCCTCTTTTACGAGGCTTTGGAGTGGAGCTGTTTTAGTCATTAGTCCTGTTTGTTACAGCATGGACCTATTAATAGGTCCATGGTTACAGGAACTGAACCCAGGTCCCTGGGATTAGAAGGAAAGCATATTAACCGCTAAACAATCCTATGAATAAAAAACATAAACATAAGCACCTAGTAATGACTTCATAAATTAGGGTTCAATTGTAAATTTACTTGTTGGTGCTCAGGACATGAAAAATGAATGAACACTAAAAGAGAAGTCCTAAAAGTTAATAAAAAATATTTGTAAAACAACTTTAAAAAGAAGTAAAATGGTCTTAACTAGAAGATGAATGCATGTCTCCCAAATAATTAAGAATACTGCCCATTTTTATTTAGTTTCTAGAAGTGCAATTCCACTAGTAGGACCTCCTCAGCCCATCTCAAAAAGAAGCCCTTCTTTAGTTTACAAAAATAGTCTCAAAAATAGACCCATTTTGAAAAGAGGCTGTGGGCTTCTAATCGAGACATTCAGACTGACGTTATCTTTGATTATTATGATAGAGTGTCAGTATCAATATTATTCTATTGTACAAGCATGGTTAAAATTTTTAAACTATTTAAAAAATTCTGAATTAATTAGCTGAAAAATGTTCTATAGTAGTAATTCTAAAATTTACAGCATTCATTTTGAAAAGAATCCTACTCTTTAGTTTGCAGAAAGTAATCTCGAAAAGAAGCCCATTTAAAAAAAAAAGTCCATCTTGAAAAGAAGCCCATTCAAGGATCCTCAAAAAAGAAGCCCAGGGCTCCTATTCAAGGTTTACAGTATTATATATAATTACTTGTACATGCATCAACTTCCAGTTGATTGAGTTGTTCAAGCTCTAACCTAGGTTATATAATGTACATATTTTATTTTAAAATACACTCAAGCTTGTATATATAACCTATTAGTATAATGTTTAATATCACCATAGGTCAACGGTTTCATAGAGGGGAAATTGGAGGGAAATATATAACAACAGATATAAGATTCTGATAATTTTTATGTTTCGTCTCACTTTCACAAACCTAACTTTATTACCGGAACCGTACAATTAATTCTTTGAATTATTCGTTATTATTTTCTCGGTTTTTAGTTGCTGTCTAGTTTGAAAACACTTCAACATATTTTTTTTACATGTAAAGTGTATAGAAACTGCACAAGTTGTGCTCTAACCAGCAATATTAATAGTCCGGTTTTAAGTACACTATAGGAAATAGAAGGAACCATTGTTTTAACTGAAAGTGGTGATTGCTAAGTGATCACTATGCTTGTGCATTACTATTTATAATTTTCTCAGTTTCTAGTTGCTGTCTAGTTTGAAAATACTTAAAAATATTTGGTTTACATGTAAAGTGTACAGAAGCTGCACAAGTTGTGCTCTAACAAGCAATTTTGATCTAGTCGGGTTTTGAGTACACTATAGGAAATAGAAGCCAAAGGAACCATTGTTTACTGAAAGTGGCGATTGTTAAAATGATCCCTGCGCTTCTGCATTAGCTGTGCGTATTAATGAGAATCATTTGTTAGTAGTACGGACACTGGAACTCTTCGCAAGTCTTCGCAACACTCTTCACGGTACGAAGGTGAATAAATTGTATTCATGTTAACTAGCACCATAGAGCAAGATTTGTTATGTTTGCTGTGTGCGTTCATAGCTTGGCATAGCAACAAAATATTCCATTGTGTTGTAACCGTAGTAAAATCACTCCAGCTTTGAGATTTTTGCACATGAGACGCAAAAAAAATCGGAGACACTATATCGATTAATGATCAGTCTGGAATAGGAAAATTCAGTGCAAATCAAAGTGATGCCGTCACCACTGACGTATGAAACATTATATCAGCATGATATTATGAGAAATAATAAAATAAAGTGTGTTTCATTTCATTTCATTTATTCATTTATTTCCACACATCATCAAAGAAAACATATACTGTACATAGTTCATTGAAACAAGTATTGTGTGGGGGGGAAGAGTCGGATAAACCAAATAAGGTTTTAAGATTGACCCACCCCTTACAAAACAAAGAAAAAAAAATACAAAGACAATTAAACAATTATACACGATTCTTTTAAAATAAGGAAACAAAATTTTCACTAATCATCACAAAAATGCTGTGTGAACAAATACAGTACAGTAGGTATTTTACTGGTAGTGCTGTGCTGCCTAAATACATGGGTGTACATAGCTAGGGAGATGTGGGACAGGTGGCTTAGTTCTACCAAATAGGTTCAAGTACTAAAAAAAAAGCTGATTAGTTTATCATTGGAATAGGGATTTAGATCAGCATGCTCAATTTTCGCACTCCTCTCCCCCTCCAAGCCAAAACCAGACTATATCCCTGAAATATCTGAAAGTTTTTTTTTTATATTACTAGTCAATAAGTGGTCATAATACACAATGTCTTCTACGATAATGGAGGAGTATTCTTTTAGTCATAGAATTTTGAACCACCAGACTTACCCTTGCTTTGAAACTCTTTGTACGCTCCCTAGGTGCTTCGAAGCTCTGCTTCTGTAAGAATTGGTTAGAGCGATCGTGGACCTCTTTCATGATCTGGTAGTCAGGATGGATTTCAGGCGTGTGCCTCAGAAGATCCTGCAGATAAAACAGAAAATTATGATTAACTTTTACTCATAAAATCATTTTATTCAATAAGAAAGTGTTAAGCAAATGACATCTATTTAGAAACTTAGAACAGTGTTCCATGGCTGGTTACATGCAAAGAGAATTACACAAAAGGCAAAGGACATTCCATTAAAAAGCTTAGAGATAATATTAGCGAATATATGAAAATAATAATAATCATCAAATGAATAAAGTCAGTAAACTATTATAATTATTTCAATGCTGATTATGATAATGATGATTTTACTGATGATGATGATATGATGATGGTGATGATGATAATTTTGATGAAGCTGGTGATGGTGATAATAATATTATGATGATAATGATTAAATAATGATAATGATGGCAGTGGTAATGGTGACGAAAAAGGCAATTGTAATGGTCATGATAATAATGACAAAACAAAATACAAGAAAATTTACTGTCTTCGGAAATACAAAGAAATATTAGCATACACCATAATTTAAAAAAGATATTTAATAAAGTGATAAAAAAAAATGATAAAAACAATAATTTTGCCATAAATTATGATAACAATGTTGATAATGATAACGAATGTACAATGTTCCTGTGTGTCATTCTATATACAGTACATTTAAATGATAACTGCTAGTGAACGGAACAACAAAAAAAATCAAATATTAATGTTACCAATAAGAAAATCTCTTGGCAAACCGGACATGAGCTAAAAGATTGTAGTGTGGCTGATAAAAATACAAGTGCGTTGGTATTTCCTTCTTGTAAAATATTGAGGATGTAATCAATTCTGTTGACTATATGAACATTATGAGACAGTATAGGCTTTGGTTTCTAAGCCTTGACTTCAATTCCGGATTTAAAGTGGTTGTGTTTACAGCGTATATATGCACAACAATTCAATTTTATATATTTATTTATTCTGTCTTTAAATTGATAATACTTTCAGTGACGCAGTACTGGTTTCACAAGTAGACCACATAAACAAAAAAATAAATAAAAGAAATGCAAATCAGAAATAAAAATATAATGTAAAAAAAAAAATGTAAATATAAAGAAAAAAATTATTTAATTTGAATCAAGGCAAGACAAAATAACTTTGCAGAGGAAATGAATACAAATATTTCAGAGTTATGATCAAATTTTGTTAACGCTATCAGTCGAAATTCATTAAAATATTCTAATTTGGTTTAGAAGCTCATTCCATGTCTAGAAATCAAAGAGCTACATGTAATCGTCACCATAGCCAATAAAAAAGCAGGGTTCAGTATGTTTACATTTTTAATAAATATGCTGCATACAAGGTTACCCAACACTATATGTAGGTCTATGTTTTACACTTTAAATGCTTTTTAGCAGAAATGCGAATTTTAGTGGCCAATACGAAATTCTACATTAATGCAATGGTGTTTCAATGGTACTTCAACTAGTAGTAATAGGTTTCTGTGTAAAGCGAAAGTGAACACACGAGCCATTGTGCTTTGTTTTAATAAGCATATCAGTAAAATTGTACACTCCCTTAGAAGTACCACAATGTAATTACTCAGAACAACTAATCTTAACTTGGTAATCAGTGAAATACTATGAAATAAAACCCTATTTAAGAAACACTGAAAAGTTGAGATTCAACTTTATATAAATCTCTTAAAGTATTGATAGGAATAATAATTTCAAACAAGAATTTAGATTTCGTCCCAAAATCAGCACACCACCCATAGATATTGACATGGAGATTGCTATTGTGCCCATCATTTGTTATTGCTAAAAGATCATCATAATTCCTAAATAAACTATACCAAATTAATTGGAAATTGAACTTTAGAATTTTGCCTCAAGGGACTGCTAATGCTGACAGTGGCCGCAAACATTAAGATTTTTTTGACAAATGTTAGGCCTAGGCGCCTGGACATCTACGGTCTGTTTAGGTATGCACGAGAGTCTTCTACCCGCTGGAATTTTAAGGCTAGGTAAGTTTACAAAGGATAACTTAAATTCCAAAGCATACAATGCTAGGAGAACGCTAGGATAAGTAAATACACTATTCTGAACAATCGTATTGACTTTCATTGCCATTTTTTTCTCACATTAACAGTGGGGGGGGGGGGGGGGTTGGGGGGGGTGGTTTTTTTCATTACCATTGACCATTGACCTATACTTTTCCACTGATCACACTGTCATGTTTTTCATGTGTATTCCAAGTTATTTTACGTGACCGACTGTTAACACACATCGCTGAATCGGTCTATTATTCACAAAATTACAGTGTAAACATACACAAACATGTACGACTCCAACTAAAAAATGCCACTGTGGAACAACTACAAACACACTACAATTCCAGACAGATGAACAGGAGATGGTAGTGGATGTGGTGAGAGAAATAGAGTAGACAGCCGAAACCAACAGGATATAGCTGCTTTATCATTTGAGATCAATCTTTAGCAATGTACCAGAAGTCAATTAAGGCTTTTAACCTAAATGAACGGAGATGGATTTGCCGCCATCAGTCATGCGACCATCAGCCGATGCTGTGTGAGCCTGGCTTTAGTTCATACCTTATTATTGGATGTAAACATATAAAAATGTGAAAAATGGAACATATACTTACATGAAGAACTAAAGTTAATTTTGTCACCTTCTGTAAAGGTCCATAGAGAAGAGCTGAAAAAATAAAATAAATTTATTAATTTTATTTAAAAAAATCAAAGTTGAGTCTACAATATATATATTATTAATTATCTTACCTTTATTATTGTATACATACAGTAATATAAAATACACATATAAAAATGACATAGAATTCGAGCATTTTGAATATTTTTTTTAAAGCATTTTAATAGAAAACGAGTAGGCCTACTTTAAATGATGTGAATATTTACTACCTTTTCTAACTAACATAATTCGCTAATTATTATATGCAAAGACGTCATATCTGTTGTTATCTCTTAATTTCATATGTTTTGTTTGGAATATAATCTCATAAACAGACAGCCATAAATATTTTATCAGAAAGGGTCAATGGCCAAAAGGATATCAGTGACGTAGAGAAATGGTCAATTCTAGAAAGCATATATACGCAGAATGGAAAGGTGAACAAACTTAATTTCCATCTGTATATTCACAGATTAGTAATCTGTGGTATATCTAAAATGCTGGCTATCTACAAAGGATAAGATGTTTTTTGGTTTCTTTGTTTATCATCAATAAATGCGTCAATATTCTCTCATTACTTTATCAATCTTTGTATGTCCCAATTACAATTAACAATGGTTTGTTCTTCACAAGCCACTTAAAGGGACATATTGTGGCACTTAAATAGGTCATGGGGCACTTAAAAAGGACATAACCTTACTATGTTCAATGGATTACCATGGGGACCTTACAGATTTAACTGGCCATTTGAAGTATTGAAGGGATATATATGAAATTTTATGGAGTATTTGAGGAGATCAACATAGAGCAACCGCCTTCATGTTCAAATGAAAATAACTACATTGGTTATCTATGCGCATCAGATAAAAACAAATCATTTGTACTATTCTAAAAATTGCATTATGTTAGACAGTTAAAGCATAAAGGTGTGTTTTTTATTTGCTAACTTTCTATTAACTGTTCTTTTAAGATAAATTTCCTATGGCAGTAAAAAAAAACTTCTTTTACCATGCCATCCTTTGACATGAAATCAATTTAATGTAGTAGTAGTATATAATTATATATGATAATATTGATTTCTTGTGGCACAAACATTATAGTCATTTCATAATAAGATTAACACCAAATGATAAGAGCTGTTTCTATTTCAATTTTCAGTAGAAACATATCCAAATAATAATAAAGCATTTAACCAGATGAAATTATTCTAACATATGCAAAGTTGGGTATACCTTCAATATTGGTGTTATAGTTTTACTGTGGAAAATGTTATATAATGATATACCATGGTTATACTTTCACTATCACATTTTCGAAGTGCTATGTATAACCTGATGTCATTTTAAACCAAAAGTAAAAATATCTACAAAAACCAGATGAATTTATTCATATATCTAAAAAAAAGTTCAATATAACAAAAAATGTTAAATTATGCAAAATCCGATATACTGCTGCAGTAGTGAAAATTGTTATTTCCTCTTCTCATTTCATCTATGTAAATGTAGAAAAAATAATTTTTATGATACTCAAAAGAAACTAATATTAATATACTTTATATTAATAGTAAATTATCACTCGATTTGGCATGTAATGTGGTGTGAGTAAATTATAGAAATGAATATTCCCGCTCAGTAGGGGACGGAAATATCACTTCATAAAGTGCAATGCAAGGTTTGGGAACTGAATATGTAAAGTTTACATGGTCTCTGAACAGTAAATATGAAAATGAAAAGATTACGCTTACCACAGGCAGATTTAGGGAAACATTTTTGGAAAGTTAAAAAAAGACAGGAAAAAAAAAGAAATAATTGATCACCCAAAACGCTTCAGAGGTTATTTTCAGACGTCTAGAAAACAAAAATGTTTGCTGGGACATGCCCCTGGACCCCCTAGGTTGGTGTTGTCTTGATTGGCCCCATTTTTGGCCCCTTTTGCACATGTCTGGATCCGCCCCTGCATACAAACATAACAAGAAAATTTGGACTTCAGATTTGATAAAGGTATGCCTTGAGTTTCTGCTTTATTAATGTTGGGACGGTGACATAACTCGTCCTACATATTATGTTGATACTGGATTTAAAGTAGATTTTCTTTTCATAGAATTTAGGTCTATAAAGGAAATAAGTCTCATTTTAATCTACCCTGGACTACCAAGAAAAGGGAATGAATAACATTTATCAGGAATTTTTATATGGAATATACAGGAACCCCTCCAATTAGAGACCAACTCCAATTGAAGACCACATTTCTGCAGCCCCAAAGAAACACCTATCCTTCATCTATTTGTTAGATACTTTTTAATTAGAAACTAAAAATTCTAAAGACAAGGAAAACCCCGGTCCCAAGATTGATCTTTAATTTGAGGGAGAGTTGAAATTTACATTTTTTCATGCTTCACCAAACTACTCTGCAACTCATCATAACAAGGTTTCAGTGGATAGGGTATGTTTCTCAGGTAATTCCTGAATAATAAAAATGGATATGAAAACAATGAAGGGCAGTTACAACAGGAAGGAAAGGTGTATAGTATAATGGAATATACATTACATCTGTTCAACACCTAAGCATAAAACAGCAAACTAAAAATAAAATAAATGGCAAAATAATGTATGCCTATTAAACTACTAGGCCTCTATAATAAAAGAATGCTGAATTAAATTATGTACTATATTATATTATATTATATTGAAATAAGTAGGCCCACATATATATAATTACAATATTATACAATCCTGCCCAATAATTATAAAATTATACACTAATCATTTTAATCATTATTAGTACTTTTTATTTAAAGTTACACTATAATACTTTACATTTTTTCATGCTTCACAACTACTCTGCAACATGTTAATGTGAATACGAAAATCATAACAAGGTTTTAATGGATAGGGTAATTTACTTTGGTAATCCCTGAATAAAAATGGATATGAAAAACATTAACGGGCAGCTACTGTAAAACAGGGAGGAAAGGTGTATATAATGGAAAATACATTAATACCTAACCACAAAACACCAAACTTAAGTAATGGCCCTATGTTATTATACTACTAGGCCTATAATAAAGGAATGCTAAAGTAAATTATGTATATTATATTATATCATATATTGCAATAAGTAGCCTTACATATATATAATTACAGTATTATACAGTCCTGCCCAATAATAATGATAAATTTATACAGTAATCATTTTAATCATTATTAATATTTTTCATTTAAACTTAGACAAGACTTTTTTTATTCCTTGTTTAGCGCACTTATTTTTTTAAAGATCATCGGATGAGGGCGGAATAAAAATAAAAATAAAATTTTGTTTTCTTAATTAGCAAACAGTTTTGCCAATTAACATCCAGACGGAAAAGAAAATGAAAATAAAATTGTATTGGTGAATGTAAAATGGGATGGTTAAATGTTCTAAATTTATATAGTTAGGAAGAAATATACATATCTTATCTTTGGAGATTTCAAGGCAGCGGAGGGCGAAATAAGAAAGAAAAAAACAAACATTTTTTTCCTGAAATTTCAATTTTTTGTGGTGGTGGGTGTGCTAATTGGCCAAAATTAAAACTTTATTTTTATTCGAAATCATCAATATTTGCAGTCGGCGTGTTCGCTAAACAAGGTATAAAAACAGTCTCGCCTTACACTATAATGCTACATTTTTAAATACAGGTCTCAAACTAACTAAAGACCCCTCCAAGTAAACACCATCTCCAATTAAAGTCCATTTTCTGTGGTCCCAAATTAACATTAATTAATGTCTTTTATCTTTATTATTATTATTAACACCGAAGCTACTGATAGACCATGGAAACCCAGGTTCCAGCAGTGTTATTTAATTTGAGGGAGACATTTTATTTATCATTAAAAAAAATGTATTTATCATTAAAAAAAAAACTATAATCATAATAGCTTCAAACACAATCAAATTTTCATCTTGTTTTTATAATGAGAACAGACTATTTATAATTCCATGTTATGACTAATGAATATGGGTCTATAGATCACCTCAAGGCAAGGATTTCTCAATTACCATTCTTTCTTCAGATCCAGAAAAGTGTGTGAAATGCTCAATTAAAATCTTGTTTTCATATTTATTATGTTTGTATAGTCAAGCATAAACAAGTACTGAAAAATGAAGATCTCGGATCAACTACTCTAATAAAGCATGCATTACCAACATTAACATTTCTCAACCTTTGGTGAGTAACCTTCTCTTCCTTATAATTCAAAAGTGGCATTTCTACATAGAAATGATAATCATTTTCGAGTATCGTGCCCATCAGGATGCTAATCCAAGACTTTATGATTACCATTCGGAGACTCTACCAACCGAGATATATAGAAATGTATTTCAAATACATTTCATTTATATAATGTTACAGGTTAAATATAACAAGACAAATAATATTATGTACTGTAAATTATAATTAACAAAAAAAAATAGTATAAATTAAATTACAGAATTAGGTATTTTTTAAGCCTAAATCTATATAACATTCTGTAAATTATATTATGATTTTGTTTCTTTGTGTATCTTTAACAGTTGATGCATACTGTAGGTTCTTTTTAATTAAGTTTGTATTTTGATTGCAAATAAGGGTTCAATTTGCACTGTACCATGTCTACAGCAATGAAGAGAAATTAAAAAGAAATGATCAATCAAATAGGCATGAGACTGATCGATAAGCAATATATAATGCCTATATAAGAAGAGATTTGATTGGTTGATTACATCATAGTTGATTAGACTGAAGGATAAACTAATGATGGCTGACTAATTGAGTGAACAAATAATGTACAATGATTAAATAGTGGGAGAAATACTAAGTGATTAAGTGCAAAAGTGACCGACTGAGTTACTAGCTATTAATAATTTATTGGATTAGTAAGAGTCATATAATTGATTAACTGAAAGAGTTAAAGTAATGAATTAAGCAAACAAATGAATAGATGAATAAACAAATAAGAGAGCAACAGACAAAATAATGAACAAATGAACAAATAAAAAGTTAATGAATGACTGAAGAAATATATGTATAAAGAGAGTGAATGAGATGAAGAATAATTGGATAAATGAATGAGTCATAAGCAAATAAATGAATGAAAATATTTACAGGAGGGTGCAAGATCATTATTGATTGAATAATGGGATAAAGATGTACAGTAATGCGCCCTCAAATCTATCACTACTGTATATCTGCCGTTCAAGAATGTACCGTATATAGCATCCTACTATTACATACACGTCAAGGCTCACTGCATTTTTGCAGTCTATATTATGCTCTCAAGCTTGAGGACCAAAATCTCATGCATAAATGTAATGTTGCCTAAAACAGAAAATATATGTATAATTTGTTGCTCTCTTGCTCATTACAGTGCATAAAAATAGGATGGTTTTGTCGTTTCACATTCGAACACAAGTAAATGGTAGCACACCACACCCTGGTTGAGGTGGTTGGCTTTCTGCTTTAAGTAACCTTCTCAATATCAATTTTGATATTAAAGGGTGGGTCAATATTCGAAAATATCTTTTACTATTTTTTCAATGACATTAGATAAAACTAGCTGCATCAACACCAAATATGTCGTTCTTTTACAAAGCACTGTCAGTGTTGTCAGATAAGATCGAAGAAGACACTACCAACCAGGGGCGGATCCAGGATTTGAAAGAGGGGGGTTCAAAATGTTTTCAAAAAACTCAAAATGAAAGGGGGATGCGGGAGTTCTCCCTGGGAAAATGTTGATTCCTAGATGGCCAGAAATGAGCTTTCCTGACTTCTAAGGACTCTTTTAATGACCTTTAAGTTCTTCAAAATTTTTCCCCCTCTCGAAAAAGGTCAGGTAATTTTATTTCATTCTTCAGGAATATAGATAGAGAAAAAAGAAAAAAAAAAATAAAGACATACTCAATATGTTATTATATTCCAACAATATTGAGTAGTTAGATATGTAGTCTTTCTTTCAAGGATCGATGAACTGATAGGCCTGAAGAATTTCGAACATACAGTAATATTACGACGCTGAACAAAAAACAGTGTGTATAATTTTAGTTGAAGACTCTTTGAGCTAAGCCTAGTTTGTCTGATCTGCCAACATATGCCTAGGTAGGTTAGCATGCCTTTTGTAAGCCAAGACCCAGTAGTACTTTGTTACGCTTCTTCGCAGAAGGGGTTTTTAGTCCGAACCCCCTGAACCCTCCTGGATCCACCACTGCCAACAACCACACGCTCAGCTCATTGTGTGTGACAGGTTCGTGGACTGCAGAAATATGCATTCTCAGGAAAAATAATGCTATTTCTTAACCATTTTCAGTTGTAAAAATACTAGCCTAAAGAATGTATTTCCAAGCATCTAGGGAAGGATTTTTCCGAATGGCGGCATACCCAAGACCCATAGTAGGAGGGGTTTTTAAAACAAAATCTCCTGCCTGCAAATTGGTCTAACTTTGCATCTATGCTATTAATCTCCTGTCTGTTTGTATGTAAAATTTGTAGAAAATGAAAAAACAAAATGTGACCAATTAGTTTTGTCCACCCCCACAATCCCTAATTGATTGTTTCCTTCTGATTTAGAAAGATCAAATATGCATAATTGATAGGAAATCCATATTAAACGCCCCTAAAAAATGTAAAAGTATTTGAGCCATTTGAGTTAATCTATCATACTTTCTTCAAAACAGGAAAACATTAATACTAGTTAATTTTTTTTCAATTGTATGACATATGAATGATTGATATGTATGTATAATGAGGCATTTTCAGTTGTTTAATATTTTTTTTTATTTTATTGTTTTATTATATTTTTTGGCAAAGATTTAAATTCTGTCTATAACAAAATGATAAATAGTATGAATGTCACACAAAAAAAATTGACAAGGACATTTTATTCGACGTTTCGCTTTTATTTAAGGATCATCAGGAAGTTTAGCACAAATAGATTGAAAAAAATTGACATTCCAGCAAGTTTTGGCCATTATTTCAGAACGACGATTATCAACAAGTGACTGGTATGGCTTACCTTTACCACAAATGTAAAAAGTCAATGTCAATCAGAAAAATATGTGAAGATGAGATAATTCTGGATGAAAGATATTAATTATTATAATTATCATCACAATTATCTAAAAAAACTTAATCCTCTTACATTCCAGAGTTGCCGCTTCTCCGTTTGACATCTTGATGTTTTCTGCAATCTGGTTAAATTGTGGATTCTCCTTACGGCATCTGTCCAGTACCGCAATAGATTGCTGGTAATTGCTTGCATATTCTTCGTGCAAGTACATATGACCTTCCTATGTAAACAACCAAGGTAAAAAAAAAACGTTAGGTAATGGCCAAGTCATACGAATCAATCAATATAAGACAGGAAAATGATGATAATAACAAGTATTTCTATCGTGCCCAGGGAATCCTATAATTCCCAGGGAATGTTCACATGTCATTACGTTCACATTTTACACCATGTACAGCATTTCATTAAAAACTGTTTATGAGTCTCAATTATAAAATTTATAGGAATTACGAAAAGCAACTTCAACCAACTAAAATTTGTATAATATAATTATCAAAAATTATATATTTCAAGAATCAATGTACTTTGAAAAAATTCCTCTGATAGGATGTTTTTCTTTTTTATTCTTATATATATTTTAATGTATTTATATATTCATGATTCGGAAAGAAATGCAAAATAAAATGATCAATAAAAATAATAAATAAAATAATATATTAAATGCAATGATCCTTCTAACCAAAAACTGGAACAAGTCACTGAAAGTTTGATCTGGGGTCCACTCCTTGAGTCGCGCTTCCAGGTTATTGCGGAACTCTTGGTGCACCTGACACAGCTCTGCAATCTTGTAGAACAAGCAACTGTAATCTTCAGATGATAGAATTGGTTGTGAGGTGTTCATATTTCCACTGAATACCTTCATTACCTGATAAAAATTAAAAAGAGTAAAGTTTATAAACATGTGAAAAGAAATTTAAATTTTCAACATGGTCAAAAGGTTATGAAAAACAATAATAATTTCAAATTAAAAACATGTATATACAGGACTACCTCCACTTAAAGACCACTTTTGGAAATGTTTAACAACACTGATCTTTAATTAGAATAATAATTTAAACATTTAAACATAAAAGACATTTGTTGTTTGGGACCACAGAAAAGTGGTCTTTAATTGGTGGTGGTCTTTAATTAAAGGGAGACCTGTATTATTTGCAAAATGTAATTCTGGTACCAAGTTGGCTAAAAATCATCCCCATGATATATTTCCGATGGAAACATGCCCTTCCCAAATGAGAGCTTAGGTCCTTTCCCAGCATTGGTACTGCCAGTCCTAACTTAAAGAAAAGTCTTAAGCAATGATTGAGATCACTTTGACAACCCGTGTGGTATTTAACTTGTAACTTTTTTTTTGTAGAATCATCGTCATATGTCAAATGTCAAGCTAAAAAATGTGATGCTAAATACTTCAAATGTCTATAACCATTAACTATGTCAATGAGATATCGTTATATCTTATCCTTGGAAAATTTAAGTGGGCACGAACTAAACCTGAAGAAGCAACACTAACAGCATTATAATACCGCGATGCATTATTGCTGACATTTTTCAGGAATATAATAACATATAATTGCAGACAGTTAATTACGACACCAAAAGAAAGTGCTGACATCATAATTTTGGCAATGCTCTAAGATATTTTTAGTAAAATGCTTTCAAAGAGAAAGTCTCCAAAATTGATATTTTTATTATTTTGAACAAAATAGCCCTCAAATCAAAATTTGTATCTTCTGTTTTTTGTACCATAACTTACGTCAATGAAGGGAAATCTGATAATTCTGAAAATAGCAGATGCATAAAAATGATGTCAGTATTTCCTGACTTTTAGTAATACAATAAATGAACTGTAAAGAAAAGAAAGCTTTAGGTATGCAGGCCAAACAGATCTGTTCAAATAACAAGTATTTCTATCGTGCCCAGGGAATCCTATAATTCCCAGGGAATGTTCACATGTCATTACGTTCACATTTTACACCATGTACAGCATTTCATTAAAAACTGTTTATGAGTCTCAATTATAAAATTTATAGGAATTACGAAAAGCAACTTCAACCAACTAAAATTTGTATAATATAATTATCAAAAATTATATATTTCAAGAATCAATGTACTTTGAAAAAATTCCTCTGATAGGATGTTTTTCTTTTTTATTCTTATATATATTTTAATGTATTTATATATTCATGATTCGGAAAGAAATGCAAAATAAAATGATCAATAAAAATAATAAATAAAATAATATATTAAATGCAATGATCCTTCTAACCAAAAACTGGAACAAGTCACTGAAAGTTTGATCTGGGGTCCACTCCTTGAGTCGCGCTTCCAGGTTATTGCGGAACTCTTGGTGCACCTGACACAGCTCTGCAATCTTGTAGAACAAGCAACTGTAATCTTCAGATGATAGAATTGGTTGTGAGGTGTTCATATTTCCACTGAATACCTTCATTACCTGATAAAAATTAAAAAGAGTAAAGTTTATAGACATGTAAAAAGAAATTTAAATTTTCAACATGGCCAAAAGGTTATGAAAAACAATAATAATTTCAAATTAAAAACATGTATACAGGACTACCTCCACTTATAGACCACTTTTGGAAATGTTTAACAACACTGATCTTTAATTAGAATAATAATTTAAACATTTAAACATAAAAGACATTTGTTGTTTGGGACCACAGAAAAGTGGTCTTTAACTGGAGGTGGTCTTAAATTAGAGGGAGACCTGCATTATTTGCAAAATGTAATTCTGGTACCAAGTTGGCTAAAAATCATCCCCATGATATATTGCCGATGGAAACATGCCCTTCACAATTGAGAGCTTAGGTCCTTTCCCAGCATTGGTACTGCCAGTCCTAACTTAAAGAAAAGTCTTAAGCAATGATTGAGATCACTTTGACAACCCGTGGTATTTAACTTGTAACTTTTTTTTTGTAGAATCATCGTCATATGTATGTCATATGTCAAGCTAAAAAATGTGATGCTAAATACTTCAAATGTCTATAACCATTAACTATGTCAATGAGATATCGTTATATCTTATCCTTGGAAAATGTAAGTGGGTACGAACTAAACCTGAAGAAGCAATACTAACAGCATTATAATACCGCGATGCATTATTGCTGACATTTTTCAGGAATATAACAACATATAATTGCAGACAGTTAATTACGACATCAAAAGAAAGTGCTGACATCATAATTTTGGCAATGCTCTAAGATATTTTTAGTAAAATGCTTTCAAAGAGAAAGTCTCAAAATTGATATTTCTATTATTTTGAACAAAATAACCCTCAAATCAAAATTTGTATCTTCTGTTTTTTGTACCACAACTTACGTCAATGAAGGGAAATCTGATAATTCTGAAAATAGCAAATGCATAAAAATGATGTCAGTATTTCCTGACTTGTAGTAATACAATAAATGAACTGTAAAAAAAAGAAAGCTTTAGGTATGCAGGCCAAACAGATCTGTTCAAACGTGACTTTTGTAAAAATTCCTCCAAGCTCTCTTTCAACATTTGTACTACACAATTCTAGATATTATCTTTGCCCCAAAGCAAATACAACATTGATATTCTTTGTTCCACTTTTTTAAAGGACCAGGACCTGGGAGGGGGAATACCGAAAGCAGAATTTGTGCATAATCTGAGTGTTTGAACATGAGTAGCAATATTGGTTGGGGAAACGGATATCAGTTTCAACTCCTCAAACTGTCAATCCATCACTAAAATCATTGCTAATGGCTGCATGAATACTCGCCAGATCACTATTAGGTGATCTCCATATTCCTAGGCCCTGCTTAGAACTGTTCAAAATTTCTTTCAGCTTCAATGCCCCCTCGTTTTTTAACTCACTCCCTTTAAAAATCAAAAAATTCTACAAGCATCTCATCCTTTAAGTCTAACCTCAAAAGCTACAGGTATCTCTCTCTTTCCATGGTTTAGTTATTTTTTTCCCTCTGTCCCTCTCTCTCCCCTCACCCCTCTGTCTCCCTCTTTTTCTTCAGGCTGGCCCTAAACTTGTATTTTTTATTTGTTTATTTTTTTTTTAACTTCATTATTTTTTGCTTTTCTTTTTTTTTTGCCTTTATTATTCTGCTTTTAATTATTTTAGTCAATTTAATTTTATTTTAACTTTTATTTATATAATATGTATATATATATTGTAATAATTTCTTTTGCTTTGTTACTTGGTTTTGATTATTTTATCATTTTAGTTTGTTTATTGCAATTGATGAAATAAATAAATAAATAAACATAAAGGGAAAATTATGACTGGTCCAATAGTCTTATCATTGCAATGAACCAGGTACCTACATTTCAAACTTAACAAATAACTTGTCATTAATTCTATACATACTCATCCTTCTTTAGTATAGGGGTAGGGGATTTCATGTTCTGGTATATCTTTCTTTATTGTCAAGGAAAGCAAGTGCCTTCATCATATTGTTAAAATGATTTCAATTATATGTAAAGGTATGAATGGAGGGGAGAGTACATGAACTTTCTCCATCTGTAGTAAATTGGGACAATGTGGTTTTTGGCATACAATGAGACCTTTATGAAAGATGTTAACCACAGTATCTGGAAAATTGATTGATTGATTCCACACTTTGAAGTGCTATTGTATGTTATGCAGTACAGAATATTATTATGTGCAAAGGGAGTCTGCTTTGGATCTTATTTTTTTTTTTATTTCCCAAAAGGTGTCTAATCAATCAATCAGTTTATTTCATTTTTTGCATCAATATATTACAGTGCATGGTCAACTGTACCGGAGGAAAAATATTTTTCGATATGTTGTAGCACTGATTTTTCGAAGACAGAAAAAATTTGTCTTATGAAAAACTGGGGAACGATGAATGAGGTACAGATTTTTGAATAACTGCCCTTTTTTACACCTTTTTCCCCCAATTTTTTGCTGGAAAATATACATTTTTCCAGCAAAGAATCCTTAAGAATACGTTTAAATTTTGCAAGGCTTGAAGGCTGCTTACTTTGATTTGGTAGGTCAATATTTAGGACCAGTGAAAAAAATTATTTTCTTGGACAGAAATAAATCTGTAAACGAAAAGATGAAGCTTGACGAGGTGAATACGAGTGGACGAGTGGTAATTGCTGTTCAATGAAAAGGGTGTCTTAAGAATGGTAGGTCCTCTCGGTTTTAACTAAAAACATTAAAATACCTTTGTTGTCAATAAGGTCAGATATTTCAAAGATAATTCTTTGTTGGTAAAATAGTGGTGTTCATTGTGCTAACCTATGAGTATTTGAGATTGAGCAGTTAATTTTTGAAGCAGAATTTTTGTGAGATATTCTTCTTACACCGTCATCCAGACAAGAGTTAGTTTAAACATGGTAAAATAAGTGAATCATAAATTAATATTTAACATATCACCAGGTACAAATATTTTCAGCTTGTGTATGGTACCGACATTTCTTGCAATAGTTTTACATGGATTTTGGTGTGAGTGTTCCATTCCTATCTATGTGTATGCCTAGATATATTAGTAGATGCACTCTAGCAAATAATACTTGGTGAAAAGCTACAGGTATTTGTAATTCAGAGATAGTGCTTCTAAAAAGCATATACAGTAGTTATGTTTTTTAAGATTAAGATGGAGGTGATTTGCATGGATCCAATCAGCTATTTTCAGAAGTTTATTGTTGGCGGCATAGTATATACTTGAGTCATGTGCAAAGAGTATAAATGGTAACAACTGTGAATACTTCACAAAGTCATTATATATGATGAACAGCAGGGGCTAAGTATAGATCCATGGGGAACCCCGCCCCCCCCCCCCAGGGCTGCCAAGAGGCTGTGGACCAGGGGCAGCTTTGCCCACTGGCTGTGGGTCCGGGGGGCGCCTAAACTGTCCAGTAGGTTCCAGGGGTAGAGACCAGATGGGGAGGGGGGTGGGACGAAACCCACAGAAGCTACGACCTTGTAACGGATAGAGGACTAATTTAATCGATTATAGAGTGCTTGATTTTTTTATTTCAACAATAAAATTGCAGAAACATGAAAAGTAAAAAACTATTTTTCATTTTACTCAAACGTTGTTTATTTATTCAATTAAAAATTTTTTTTTACCTAGCAGCCAAGGCAACTGTCGGGCTTTGGTCCCAGGGCACTTTCCTCGTCTACCTTAGCCTCTTGGCACCACTGGGAAACTCACACTTGACAAAGGCATAATCAGATTTCAAACCATCCATCAAATTTAGTCATACTTGTCAAATAACTTCTGAACCACTCCAAGGTCTGACTATGAATCCCATAGTGAGATAGTTTCAGAGAAGTATTTCGTGATCAATAGAGTGGTCCAGGAAAATACCGATGGTGTGTTGGCGTTTTCCAAGGGTACATATCAGTAATCTTCTCTACTACAGTATATTTAAGTCATGGATGGTTGAATGCTTTTCTCGAACACCGAATTGCAAGTTCGTTAGGATACATTTACCTTTATATACCGTCAATAAGGATATTGGGCGATATTTTCCACATCCTTGGGTTCCCTTTCTTAAAAATTAGAATGACCTAATTTCTTTTGGTTCAATGGTAAAGTGCCAGTTGTAACCGAGAGGTTACAAATGTATGATAAGTGAGTTAGCAGTTCAGTAATTACATTTTTAACCAACCTGGACACTTGTTTTTTTCTGCAAATTATGTACAATATCATGAATTTCCATTTTAGTCACTGGATAAATAAACATTGAATGTAGATTTGATGTATCCGAGAATTCTTGGTGACTTATGTTGGTGGAATTTCATTAGCTAAACTTACGCTTCCCCGATCAGTGTCCCACCCCCCTCACCCCACCTTGTTTTCCAATACCCCTATAGATATGCCACTGTTGCCATAGTGAACAATACTTTAACTGAATCTAATATTTTTTTGGTCCAAAATCACCCTTCAGTTTGAATAGATAGAAATAAATTGTTTTATTAATAATGTCAGTTCCTGCAAAACCCATCCCACCAAAAATATAGACTCATTGTCCCCTTTTTAAAATCCTGGATACCCTTCCCTACATCAGAACAGTTCCCTGTATATCCCTCAATCTGTAATAAGGAAATATTATTATATACTATTGTGCAGACCAGACCACTAGTTCCTTCCACGCGAGCAGGTTATTATCATCCGACTTCTGTTTGTCTATTGGTGTGAATAAAAATCCTAGATATTATTATTATTTAATTCAGCTTCCTGATAATATATAGAATAAAACACAGATTTCCTGTTCGTCTGTTTGCGGGGATTAATAACTGAACTATACTAATTTGCATAATTACTGAAGCTTGCAAGCAACACATTGAACATGTCTAGAATCAATATGCCACTATAATAACAACAGAAGAATATATTGTAGTATTGTACCAGAAAACTGTTAAAAAAAAAGTGTTGGACTTATGTTAACAAAAAGGATCTATCTAATTCCCCACCCACTTTCTGCACAAACAGATCCAGTATTAACTACTGGGGTGAAGCATCTTCTTTCACCCCCACCCCCTCTTCTTCCCACCCCTCCCTACCCCAGAAGTACAACTGCAGCTCTGCTCTAACGTTGTGCATTTTGGTGGTTCTACTAGGGAACAGTGAAATTACAAATGTGTAAATTTCACTGTTCCCTGGTTCTACCTTCTTTTAAGCACTTCTTGGCACAAGGGCTCATGATCTGTAAAAAAAAATCTGTAAGTACCTATCTTTCGAATCATGTACCTGCCTGCCCCCCCCCCCACCTTTTGAAGGTTAAAAAAAAAAAAAGAAAGAAAATTTAAAAAATGATCGCCGAAAAAAAAAAATGCCTCAGAAGTTATTTTCGGGTGTCTAGAATACAAAAATTTCACAGGGACATGCTCTGGGACCCTCTAGGGTAGTATTATCTCGGTCGGCACAACTTTTGCCCCCCCCCCCTATTTAGGCCACTCCCCTTTTTGAACATCTCTGGATACGCCCCTGCATTCCATGAAAAATAAGTTGAATTACAAAGTACTGTACTAGGGTATGTATATTTAGATGTTGTAAGTGAGTTAATAATTATACTTTTGTTGGGTAATTATAAAATATTAGTACGTTTACAATAAATGTTTGTTATGGTTGTCATATTCAGGTGTTTTGTTGTAACCCTTACCGTAAGAAGGCACTCCATTGAAGTAATATATTTTTTCTCGCTGTCCAGTACTGTGCCTAATATTATACGTCGCAGGTTTAAATCTTCAACATCTGGAGTAGAATATTTTTTTGCAAGCTGTCGAGAAGAGAAGCAGAAATTAAAATTAAATTGTATATTATATATTACGAATATTTCCATCTTGGTACAATACTTCAGGCTCATTAAAACAGAAGTTCCAAGTCTATTGGAACTCATAATTTTGCATGTTTTCACTGCTTTATTATCAATTATATCAAGGAATTCAGTGCCAATTGGTATCATGTATGTGCAGCAAAATAAAATTAGTTGTGTTAAAAAAGCTCATTAACCAGATCAGTGGCAGATTCAAAGGGGAAGTCGGTTCGGGCCCCTAAATATATCAATATTATGAAAAAAATCAGCTAAAAAAGAAATTTCAGAGAGGGTCATTTCCGGCCATCTTCAGATACCTAAATTTTATATTTTCCTACCCCAGGCAACAACCGTAGTGGGGTTGATGTATTCTGGACCCCTGCGTCTGTAAAATCCCTGTCTCTTATACACATCTAGATGTGTACTGCCACCGCACATCTCCTGGAAATGACTTCTTCCAACTTGGGACCCCTGACAAAATTTGTACTGGTTATTTACTAATTACTCTTTTTTGTCCATATTAGGCAAGACTCTTTTTATTCCTTGTTTTAAATACTTATTTTTTTAAAGATCACCGGAGGAGGGTGGAATAAAATTAAAAATGAAATTTTGTTTTATTTGGCGAACAGTTTTGCCAAAAATACCCAGATGGAGGCGAAAATAAAAATAAAATTTTATTGGTGAATGTAAAATAGAATGGTTAATGCTTCAAATTATTATAATTAGGAAGAAATACACATATCATCTTTGGAGATTTCAAGGCAGCGGAGTGCATAATATAAACAATAAAGAAAAACTTTTATTTTTTTCTTAAAATTTCACTTTTTTGTGGCGGCGGGTACGCTAATTGCCCAAAAATAAAATTTTATTTTTATTCGAAATCATCAATATTTGCAGTCGGTGGGTTTGCTAAACAAGGTATAAAAAGAGTCTCGCCTAAGGGATGTGGAGTTGCCCATTGTTGTCATTAGTAAACAGAATACTGATGTCAAATTATTGTATATCGTAAGAACATGGAGATATTTTCATCATCAGAACTTCTAGTCAGGTTTTGGTGTGTTGATCCCTGGCACAGCAGGGCCGAGGCTTGGTGTCAAAGAGAATTTCAAATAGGCCGTAGATAAGTATAAAATTTGGTCAAACTATTGAATATCATAAGAACATGGAGATATTTTTCATCATCAGAACTTCTAGCCAATTTTTGGTATGTTGGTCCCGAGGCGTGGTGTCAAGAAAATCTTAAATTTATTAGTCTGCAGAATGTTGGCCTTGAAACAGAGATTCAAAAGAATCCTGTTTTGAAGAACTCAACTCAATATCTCACAACTTAAACATACTTAACCACAGAAGGTCATCATACTATTACAGGATATATTGTTAATGTTAATTTAAACCACAAATTGTCAAACAATACACACACAAGCAAAAAAAGTCATATCAAATGCCACAAATTGCAGGATAACCACAAAGTGCCAGTGTTTGTCACTACAACCCATCATCACATCGCTATCATGTAGTACTGTACATTACAGTATAATGCACGAGTCACAGTGACGTCATCCCGACAAATGAAACATATTGTCATATTTGCACAATAGCTTGCCAACAGCATGATCATAATGTAATGAGCCAGTACAGACTTAAATTAAATATTATATCTTATCATATTTGGTATGTTTTGCCACATGAATGATTATAATGTTGTGAATATCAATCCGGAAGTTGCGGCTGATCGCACCACCTGGTCGCATATGATACATCCACCATACAGTCTGTATAGGCTTTAACAGTTTTACCCTCACATGCGGATATAGCAGACATTAAATGATAATGATGATGACTATGATGATGATGATGATGATGATGAATGGTATCATGAAAATTATGTGATGTCATAAATGATCATAATATGATTACATAGTGTTTATGACATGATCACATCTAGCATCATATACTGTATAACTGAAATAAGTTTTTTGATTTAAATAATGTAGTCTATTAATGAGTGCAGAGTGTCATGAATTATCACATCATGTCGCATACTGACTGCATAGCGTCATTGCTAGATCACATAAAGTAATGTTGTTAATGTCTTGAATGTCATGAATGATTTATATCTTATAATTTGTGTGATCACATCACGATCATATATATCATATAGTGTCATAGTGATCACATGATGTTTTATTGCATAATATAGTGCCGTTAATGATCGAATACTGACACGTATGATCACGTCATGTCAATAGTGATCACATAGCATTGATTGAATAGCACAGTATGATCATAATACAGGGCTGGCGGAACGTCTCTGTTGGGTGGCCCACTAGCATAAAGTGGAGGCCCCCACAGTGTTTCTTTGCGACCATACAAACATCTACATCTATAGGCATTATATATTTTCTGCCAAAAAGTGGGGGGGGGAAGGGGCCCAGGTCTCCCCCACCCTCCAGTTCGGCCGACCATGTAATGGAGTATCCTATAATAATGAAAATATAATTAATTCCATAAGTCTATTTATACGAATGTTAAATAAATATCATTACACAGTTTTACTCACACCTCACTATAGATTGATGGTACAAACATATCTACAAAAACAGAACTTACGGCATCATCGATTTGTACTTGTAGGAGGTCGCAAGTGGCGTCTACTTCTTCCTTAGGTATTAATTCATCGTACAATGTCTGCGGCCTCTTTTTTGTAGTGGGGTCTTCAAACTTAATCATAGTGGCGTCTTCTGGTGAGTTTGAAATACATGTTCCAGAATCGACTGAATTTGAATCTAAAGAACAAAAACAATTAACACTATTATATTCTAGTACATTGGTGAACAACTAACAGAGAAATTATATGATATTAACATGAGGAACCTTTAGACCTTCCAGCTGTAAGTAAGCATGATTTACATTTATATTAAACAAATAAAATACAGTAAATCAATGTCTGGATAGTTTTGCGCCAGTAATGCATGCAACAACAGACTTGCCAGAAAAGACATAAATTAGGCTGCTAAATTTTATCTTATCTACAAAACAATTAAATTGGCTACCGGTAGTAATAAATCAAAAAGGATTTTTAATAGTTAAATACTCTGTAAGTCAATAGAAATAGAATTGTTTTAATTTTTTTCTCCATGATAATTTTGTCCATTTCAATGTTATAATAAAGAGGTTATTCATGGTTATGTTATCTTCAGTGCACCTTTAATACATGGGTTAACTTTAATATAAAAAGAGATGTGTGCAAAATGATGTGAGGAATGGATAAACATTTGCTGACTCAGCTAATAATTTTTATTTGGTACAAACACTATTTTGACACATTTACTGCAGACATTCAAAACAATTAACAAGAAACCAGTCTTATTATTATCCTGTACAAAGAAATCAACCAGTATATATTTTATTTTTATTGACATTGCAGAATAACAAAATAACAGGAAACAGAAAAGTATGTGGTCTTTTTAGTCTATACATACTCTAAATAAGGTGCTTCATTTCATTTTGTTATAGATTAGGTATTTTTATACCAGAAAAATTAAAAACAAAATATACTGATGATTTTAAAGAGGATCCCAGAGTATACCAACCTTCTGGTATATGCTAGTGAGATAACACTAATATATTAAATTTTTTTCTAAAATAGAATTTGGTAGCCAGATAAATAAACTGATTTAATGATTAATTTATTGAAGTCAACCGTGGATATAAAGGCTTGAACAAATATTTTGAATGGTTCAGTGACACCCCTACCAAATCAAACATCAAATAAAATACTTTTCAGTTTGAATAGTTGATAATAAAACTCAAAGGTAGAAAACATGTATTAAAACACGACCCCTTTTATTAAAATACTCTTTGGACTCCCTTTTCATGTTCACCTTTAAACTTATCAAGTGGCAAAGTGCTATTATCAATAAGAACACCACTATTGTAAGATATGGATCAAATTTGCATAAATCCTGTTGTAAGTATAAAGAGGGTTGTTCTTAGAAATCACGGGCAATCACCATAAAGTTAATACACTTATTCACATAAAAGTGCAAGCATTATTATTAACATTGAGTTCACTACATACAATTAACATTTATAAACCACATTCTACAATAAACTGCTTGGAAACATAAAGTATTGTATTAGGCCCTATTAAAAGTATCATTAGTTTATCACCCTATCTAGGCTGGAAAAATGATTAGGGAGGAAGGCTTTTATTTTTTATTTTGCTAAAGCCAAATATCACCTTTGGGTTGTTTGCCAGTGCATTGATAGTCAAAGTAAAACAAGACTGAGATAATACAAACGATATCTACTAACTATTTAATTCAATAAAATGAAAAAAACAAATTTTTTTCATAAATATATTTATATATAAGACATGCAAGCAAGGGTGATAAACTAATTTTTTTTTTACTGGGCCTTAAGTACATGTACACAGGTGCGTAGGCTGGTTTCCGCCTGAAGGGGAGTTGGGGGTGAGAAAATTGGGCCTACAGGTACAGAACTAAATTCCTATTCCAATGGTCATTTTTAGTATTTTAAACCAACACTATAGAGGAAACCGTTTTCCCAGACCATGGGGGTACATCTGCCACCCACCAGACTAGCACTTGCCTGAGGTAATACAAGTATGGTCCACTGTCAGCAATGAGTTTACTTGTCCCTTGATATTTCCTGCCAATTTATTCAACACACCTTTTTTGATGAGACAGAATTTTTTTAAAGTATGTTTGTATACATGGCCCACTTGTTTTGCACAAGGAACAAAACTTCAAAAAAAAAAGGTCCGGCAGTCAACATGTTAATGCTATTGTGTGACACATTAAAACGTGTTGTATTTCAGTTCTCACCGATTGATCCCTGGGTGGGTTTTTTCTAGATTTTTTGTATACTCATATTTCTCCACGGTATAATTTATGCAAATCTATAAATGAAATGGAATGAAAAACAAATTCACAATGAATGAATTGTTTATCAAGCTGGTTAGCTGATTTGGTAAAATCAAGCAATTCACATATTCTGCATAGTTCCTTCCAGCAGAATAGCCACAAATCACAGAATTCTGCAGCATATGGTGGAAAGCTGTTCCCTGAACATGTGTAAAATAATAATCTAATTAATATGTTCCCTAAACAAACAAAATGTTGCAAGTAAATTGTTCCTCATATATGTGAAGAACTTGAATGTTAGAACACTAAAAACCAAAAGATAGCAGGCACATATATCAGATACTGATAGTATGTTTATCTGATTCACATAATGTTGATTGATATTCTTCAGGGTCAGATAAATTTGATAATTCTAAGAAAATGATTTATGATAATATGGTGCAACTAAAAAAAAAAATGTTCTGCTTGCTGCCTACTTCGTCTAAACAGATGATGATTATGATATGAAAGTGCTATTCATGATGATCATCATTATCGTGATTACGATGATGATAATGATGACAATGATGTTGATAATTATGATGATGATACTGATGATATTGATTATGACGTTGAACATTTTAATCATATTGACGATGATGATGATGACAATATGGTGATAATGATAATACTGATGATGATAAATATTGAGGATATTGATGAGCAGATTCTTCCTCATCCTCCTCCCACTCCAACTGATAATGCCTATATCAAAAGAATACTTTAAATTCTATTACCCTGCACTACAGCAGTTGTATGATTTCAGTAAGTTGTGGAAATCTCCCCTACAGTATTAGTTTTATATAGGACATAATGAAAGAAGCAAGAAACAATATGGCCTAACGCCATAACCTAACATTGCCACTTTCACTTTATATTCATAATAGGAAATTAATTATAATTAGTTTAATAGCAGATTTTGGCAAAAACCAAATTCAGAATTTGAATAGAAGATTTAATAAACTAATTAAATACATTATAATTAGTTTAATAGCAGATTTTGGCAAAAACCAAATTCATAATTTGAATAGAAGATTTCATAAACTAATAATACTAATTTCAACATCATCCAAAAATGTATCTGTCTACATGTTTTCCCCCTCAAAATGCATAATACTAAAAAATATATTAATATTTTGTACTGAAAACACTACTGTAAAAAAAATCAACACTTCTTCTGAGAAATCGAATCAGACAAAATTTATACAAAACAAAAATTCTGGATTGTTTATATAAGGTAGATTTCTGGCACATTAGGCCTACTGTACTCTTAAACATTCTTCATATTGTTTATCTTAATATACAGTATCTCAATATTATTATTACATAGTAGAAACCCTCCTTTGGGACACCTCTATTAAGAGGACACATTTCGGCCACAAAATGAGAGAACGTATATGTTTTTAACACTATAACCAACTCCTTTTCAGGGGTTACCCCTATTAAGGAGACACTTTTTTGGTACTGAATGTGTCCCCTAATAACAGGGATTCTGCAGTTAGTATCTGATTTTGTTCCATTTGACTTATAACCTATTTTGAATAATATTTCCTCAAATTTACTCGGATACTATAGGGACAGTGGGTGCCAGACCTCAGTGTGGAACAAGTAATGAGGAGTCATAATGTGAATAATGCAACCAGGCTACACATTCTCCACATTATAAATGCCAGACATTAGAAAAACAAAAAAAAACACTATAACCTAGTAACTCAGCATACATAAACTGATGAGTGCAAATTGTTTGACATATTTACTACCAGCAATGGAAAAACAATCAACCATATTATATAGTGAGGGGAAAGAAATGTGAAATATTATCTCATTCATCATAAAATCTCAAGGGGCTTGTTTACATGGTCCTCAGGGAGTAATAATCTGGCCGAGTCTCATAAAGCATAATTATAGGTCATTATTGATGTAAATGTTTATAATAAGAAGGGAATGCTGAGCTCCATCTAGGTTTCTAACTACTTCAAACTTCTGTCTAAAAATAGTAATGACTATTGAGTGGGTGTAATATAGTAGGCCTAGTAATAGCCATGCTTGCCCTGGGTTTAGTACTCTATGACTTGCAGATTCAGAAATGCCACTAATTAAATCTGTCAAGCTATTCTCCATTCTCATTCATAGACTCAAAATAACATCATGAGAAGATCATACAGAATTGAAAGTAAGAATAAATTTTGCTGCTGGCTACATGCTGAATTATACACAGAAACTTCTGTGTTTCTTGGCCATTACAAAGAACAGCATGATTCCAGTATCAATGGTATATGGTTACACCCTGCAATGACTCATATACCAGGTATCTTTTCATAATGAACATTAACATTCATAATATTAGGAGATACAGGTACCGATTACTTTGTGACCAATCAATAGAATTATCCCATCATTGTTAATATTATTATTGTTATTTAGGCCAAAATAAACATTGCCTATAGAGCAGTGACATTTAAAAATCAGGGTCAGTCAGTCAGCAATTTTTATATCATATTTTTATATATTCATCCCACCCATGCATTGTGGTTGTTAAAACAGTAGCAGGTTTAAAATCCAGATAAGAACGTCCCATTTAATGTATGTAGCTTAATATAATGACTTTACTATTTTTTAGCAGGTGAATATTTTTATGATTTTACTACCTTTTAAGCAGTTAAATATTATGTTTGAAGTAGTCAATGAGAGCCCTTCGATGGCAACTTAATTCTAGTGCTAGGTAATCCTGCTACATACTGTATCCCTTTTGATTATTTTGTTGTTTTGGTGAAATAAATATGGTATGATATTATAAATTGTATAGCCTTTTGGAATATGTATCTTTACTGTATGCATTTTGGATTCTTTATTGGTAAACAAAATTTTTTCTTCAATATCGATTCCTGAGGCCTATACTAATGTAAATGATTACTATAATAACTAAAACCGAAAGGTCTACTGATTATTCTCAGATAAGAAAGTACAATACATACTCCAAGTATTGAAATGCATGCCATCGTGTTGGGATCCAACATTTCAATATTAATTATGTCATCAGATTCAATATTTCGGCATCAATTATGTCATCATTCAGAATTACTTAATTAATGACAAAATACTGAATCGCATTAACTATGTCATCATTAGGATGACATAGTAAGTAATGTTAAAATGTTGAATCCCAACATGATGGCGTGCATTTCAATACTTGGAATATGTATCATACTTTCTTATTACGACTAACAGTGAAGCAAATATTCTAATGGATATTCAAGTACTGTGCAATATTCGCTTTCAATTAAAACTATCACAACTGAGTTAAGAGTAGAGTGGGCGATTTTATCGTACATGAGGACCAATGGATTGATAACCATAATAAGTGATTCAGTTTTTCCTAGACAAAAAAATATCTATTCATAAGGAAAACAAAAATATGGAAGACAGGGGGAAAAAAGGGAGAAAAGGTAAATGTGATTTACTGTAGATTATGATAATAAAAAAAAGAGGAAAGATTCAATACTATATCTATAGTATCTAGGACTAATTTAAGATGTTATTATTATTATCAATTTAAATATTCATATTCTTTAAAAAATCAACAGTTATAAAAACAACAGGTTGACTATAAACATAATAAACTATGATAAATATACTAACAGCAAACAATTGAAACAACAAACACAAAAGTAAACACTTACAATCTTATTTAGAAATAAAGTATGTGATGGTCATGTATCAAGGTACTGTATGTTGCTTCTTAATTTAATATAGTACTGCTGTTAGCATTTGACCTCTCCATGGATATATCACCCCCCCCCCCCACACCTCCTAGATCCAACCATCTTATTAATAGGTCCATGATCCATCAATGGTGATACTGTATATTGTGAAAAATATTCTTTTTGATAAAACCAAGGAATATTATATCTACTGTGATTGTTGTGATTGTGAGGTGTTTCCTGAATAGCTGCAACAACAGTAAGATTTTGGACTTATACCGGAAGCTGGTATAATGCTAAGCCTTAAAAACGTCCTTGAGTAATACTTAATTAGCTCGTAATATTTACTCATATGTATAAAGAAAATGGCCAGCCCAGCATACTGTATTACTTTAACAACAAGGATATGCTCAATGATAATATACTTAGCAATGCCAGACATACGGACAAAAGAATAATTATATAATATGTTGCACATTTTTTTTATATGTTTGTAAATCGTCCTGCGGAGCATAAATCATAGTGTATAAACAAATCATTATTTTGGTATACCTAGGTATTAAAGGTAGTCCCATATTCATTACTGAATGTAGAGAAATGAGCTGTTGTTAGCCCATCATACTAAGCCTCGATATTGTGTGGTAGGGTGGCTAGTTCCTTTCCATGCCGCCTCCTGGGTGGGGAGAGACATAATAATATAGGTAAAGTGCCTTGTCCAAGAACAACAGCAAAATGCATTGGCACAGCGAAGATTCGAACCACCGACCTCGAGGTTCAGAGGCTGAAACGCAACTGCTGCATTGACCGCTCCCACTCAATAACAAGGCCCTTTATATACATTTCAATTTATCTATTGATAAATCCAAATATCAGATTCCTGATGATTATCTAATCAATGGACGAATTGAAGCACAATAGTTTTTGACACTAGTTGGTTTGTACATACCGGTGGGTAATTAAGTAACTGATTTCCTTTATGTATCTACATAGACAGGAGAAGGTTCTGGGTCTGAATCCCAATTGGCTTCAACTCTTATTCATACTCTTCTTTAATGTTGAAAATCATTACAGCATTACTGCAGGATATTTAAAAATTTGCCTTTACATCGTTTCATGATTGTATGTATTTAAGCAAAATAGTGTATAAACTTTTTATCTAATCCGTTTTAAAGGTTTTGTGCACATTTTTTTTTCTTTTTCTATTATAGGAGGTTCAAACAAATCAAACCACCCACTTCAAATGATATACTGTAGTACAATCAACCAAGGTATTTACTGGTCTTATTATTTTATTGAACATGGTACAGTTACTGATTCATGGATATACTACTAAGGTGTGTTTTCACAAAACTTCCTGTAAATTGGTGTATGTATTACAGTAATTCTGAGTTGCTACCTTTACAATAAGGCTTGCCACTACCATTATTTAATATGATGCAAAGGATCACTGGACCAGAAATTGTTCTTATATTGTGCATGCGTTTTGACCCATACTTGAGCCTAGTCCAAATCCTGCTCAAACCAAGCCTTTGAACTGGTAAACTAGTCAACAATATAACAAGAATATACAAAGGATGGTAGGTCTAGCATTTAGTATCATTATATATTATTTGTACTAGTTCCATTCCATTCCGTGTCATGGTACAGGCGCTCTAATATGGGATGATTTCTATCTATTCCCCTCCCTTCTAATATTAACTCATCACTATCTTGTTTTCTGTTTACACAAAGCCACGCTTTATTTACAAAGCTATAGAAATGTAACTGAACCATGCAAGTGGAAACCAATGAGATGGAAATATGTGGTTTTATGTCTAGCATCATCAGGAGTAGGATCACAGACCTTTAAAGCCAGCCTCCAGAGGGAAAAAAGTTGTTGATATATTGGTACAACTGATTTTTTTGACTGGCGACGCAAAATGGGTGTTTGACAAAAAACTTGGGAACGGTTTGAGATACAGACTTTTGAACATTTAAAAACAGGGAGAAAAGGTGTGTAACCATAGTCTTTTCTACAGTTTTTAAATATTCAAAAATCTGTATCTTATTGAACGTTCTCAGGGCTTTTGTCAAACACCCTCATGAAAAAATTTACTTTTTTTTTTTTGGAAAATAAAAATAATGATGACTTTAAAGATTGAACAACATTGTAATCGTCTAAGAAGAGGTGGAAACACAAATTGCAAAATATGATACAATTTATATTCATTTTCCTTCAAAATAAGAACACTTTTTATATCACTGCATTTTAAATGGTTAAGGAATAAATCGCTAAAGCCACGGAGACCCTGCATTGGCTGATGCTATTCCATGATGATTGAGCAACGTGATGAGGTGCACGCGATCGGTAGCCTTCAAGAGTGAACCGCCTGGACTGCTACTGATAATCAGTATGCCTTGTCTCACAGTCAAGCACTCACAAATACAGAGCAGAGATGGATTTGCTGGCTGTCATTCTGCCGATTGTCGCAGTCCCCCATTTAACAATCACACATAACTGTATAACTGTTTATTATACTATGATTTTTAGATCCTGGTTTTCCTAGAATCATACAGGGTGTAGGGGTTGCCAAGGTGCTTAGGCTGCAAGTGGAATCCAAGGGAAGAGTTCTAATGGTGCCTGTCATGGGGACAAGCCCTTAGACCTAAAGAATTTTAGCTTTACCGTAATGGCGAATTGCTTTTGTTATTTCATTGGATGGCATTTGAATGTCATTCATAATATCTAACATGTAAACTTATCGTGTTTAGAAAGATATGAATTTAAATAACAACATAAAGCAAAGTTCATATACGTTGCAAATAATGATATTTTAAAGTTATGATTAGTTTTCCTTCACCCAAAGCACTAGATACTTCAAGACTAACACATGTTTCAAGACAATAATTCTAAATAAACATTAATGAATTAAAAACACCAGCGAAAATATTAGATTTCAATTTAGACTAAGATTTAGTTAAGTTGCAATCAGTTTACCAGTAACCCACTGAAAACATATTTGAACATTAAATTTTACCAGAACTTTGAGAACTGTATTTTCTCCTTACTCGGATACCCATTGAGCGTGATATTGCTGAAAAAAAATACAGTGGAAATTAAGTACATGTGATAAAAGAAAATTTTAATTTAAAAAATCAAGAACTAAACCAAGCCTTAACAGACCTGATATCAGAAATGACTATATTGCCATTCGTATCAATTGATGGCATAATATTCAACATAAAATAATAAATCTTTGTGTTTTTAGTTTGAGATATTGTAATCATACATTGATCGGTGGGGATTTTGCAAAAATATGTTTGCATTGTAGATTTTTACTTTCAAACTTTAGTTGTGGAAATCCATAGCCACATCCCTACCCTGAATTATGAAACCCTAACATACAGGTTCATGAAAATAGACTGGTGATAAATTCACTACCAATCAGTACATAAAATTGCTCTACCTAAATCAAATTTAATTTTACTGTACTATCTATCGGTAGGGTAAGCTACAGTATGATTCACAGAATAATATGGTTTTACTGGTAGTGCCGAAGATTGATAACACATCTACCAGCATAGATAAAATAGAATAAAACAATGGAACAAAAGATCTAAACTAATAACTATACACCTTGGTGTCTTATGGAAGAACTTTGGTATGATTCAAACAGCATGGATGAAAACATGGTGATCACTATCTATTCAACACTTGAGAATTTTGATCCATACTGTTCGACAAGAACAACAATTCCTGTTCATAGATTTAGAAACGTTCACACCAGTAATTATCAATTCAAAGCTATTGACCTTGCGATCTACTGGACGACCTAAAAAGTATTTTAGGTCAGGGTGATGAACAGTATGTCTCAAATTTACATACTAATTTTTATATCTAATCACTCAATATATACTCTACTTAAGAAGAGCTTAGCCTAAAAAAGAGAGACAGCTGATATTTTTTATTAGAAAATTTCTTATAAAAAAAGATTTGGAATCATAGCATATTAATGACAGAATTATCTATGACTTTTAATAATTGCCTGCTTAGGTATTCAAAGATACTGTAGTTGTTCAATTGAGGGACAAAAGACCAATTCCGTTGACGTCATTCAAATACTTCCGTAAAACCCAGTCCAAGGGGTGAAGTTCTTAAGTTTTTAATGCTCTATTTACTTTTTTATTCTTTTGTTGTCATTATGGAGATTCCTAAACTCATTTCTTTGGGTTCAGTGACATCCTAATTACTAGTTGGTAAATGGTAAAAGAAAGCCTTTAATATGAATAATATTGTAAAATTATATATTAATAGCATTCAGTAAGTACTACAGTAGGTCTATAGTCTAATGTAATATATTAATAATAATACAATTTAACTACAATAATATTAAACAAAAATGAAGATAATGATGATGATTATGATGATGATGACGAAGATGGTTATGATGATGCTGATGATGATAATAATTTAAATTATGATGATCATGGTGAAATTGATGATGGGGTTGATAATGATACCAGTACTCCCTAGGAGGAGGGAGACAAAAGCTGATGAGTGTATTGTTTGTTATTCTTCCTACTAAAATGGGATGTACCAGAATCCTGCTAGGCATTTATTTGTTTTCAATGCTTTAATATTGAAATTGATTTAAACACTACAAAACATCTCAGTATTAGTACTCTACTACCAGTATCCTACAACAACATACCAGTTTAAAAAGTTAAATTATTCTTTAGGAAAATATCTAGCAAGGTGTTTAATACGGAAGTAACCAAACCAGAATAAACTTATAATAGATCCTAGTTATTCATTTTATTTCAAACAAAAACTTGGCCACATAGAGTAATATTTTTTTCTAAATTGTTAACAAAATAAATTTGTTAAATTTCGGTCATTGTTAATTAAACAAATGTCTTTAGAACAATTCTGTACTGAAATACAAAAAAAAATTGTTATAAAAATCATGACTTCTGGATTATTAGATTAAGTTCTGCAGAACATTCTGTAGCTGAAAAACAAACATCTTCAATAGGTCGTAAAAGAGACTTGACGTTCTGATATGTACACTGGAATAAATCGGTGCATTTACCGTACCTTAAGTCAAGGCAATTCAACAGAAGGACGCACATCTCCGCTCTCGAACATAGTGCGTGCGTACAGTCCTATGACCGTTACTGTGGTATCGACAACTTGATACTAGTTGCGAGTACAGTCGTCAATTATTAGTCTATGTGTGCCATACGTTTTATGGTGTTATTTACATTATTTTTTAAATAATTTTATTTATTATAATTTTGGGTATTTCGCAATGTCTGTTACATCTGCTTTCCTTTGACCGCGAGCTTGTTAAATGCTTCTATAAACTACAATTTGATTTGTGAAAATTGACCAAGAAAATTAAAATATAGCAATTGAAAATTTACATTAAACTGTCATTTTGACCATGTTGGACTAAGGTGCACAAAACAAACATTTGAGTAGATACAGAAAATTTATTAATTTTTTCGGCGAAGTGAGTCGCCTGAACGACAATACACCACAACATCGGTAAAATTAATGTTGAAATGAAGAATATAATTTCAGTCTAATGTTAGTGCAAATTATCATTAGGCCTTTGTAATCGCCGCACGACGCACGATTATCATGGCAACTAACACGCGCGTGGGTAATTCGTCACACGCCAACGGTCTGGTTGTTATGGTTTTTGTGACGTTCAGCGTGTAGGGATGCGCGGCGCCTAGAATGATGATGCCAGAGTTACAACCTTTGATGTCTCGAGATGTGCGTCCTTCTGATGAATTGCCTTGCTTAAGCTCGGCACTCACTGCACCCTTAACCGTCATTGGCCTATGCAATTCTATGACGACCGCAACGCCACGATACGGGCGCAACAGATCATTTTTAATGATGATATGTTTGGACTGCCATCAACAATAACCCGACGTTGTCACTTCATCTAGAAATCACAGGGAGCATGGTTGGAGTCGTCGTACGCGATGCAGTAAGTGCCCGCCTTCAGCCAATGTTATCTCGATAAATTATAATTATTTTTGGTTTACATTCTTACCTGAATCGCCCTTTGAATATTCATTGCTATTAGACCCTTCCGATGTTGCGTCTTCCTCAATACAATGCATTCCCAGTTTTGTCGGAACATGTTCTCCGCTTGTTAACAGCTCTGTTACGCTTGTACCCTCTGGATTTATACTAGCCTGGCGGCTGGCAACCTCATGTTTCATAACTTTTTCCTCATCCAAATGTTCATTTTCGTAGTCTGTGTCTTCGTCATGTGGCATCCTGCGAATCGGCTCTGGGGAGGGGACTTTGATTTGAGGAAGGCCGAATTCCCTCGGGTTTTTCAGAAAGGGGATATTCTCATAGATTTGTTCATAATCATCATCACTGTCTGAATCTGGTTCCTCAGAGATCGCAGGGGCAACATAACTTGAGGGCCGTGAACCAGCCTGTGAACCAGGACGCGAGTTAGAGTCGATAACTTCAAAGTCTCGAGAGTTTCTGCTAGAATCCCTTCTGGGAGGCACAACAGGGGGATTTTTTCGTGGAACAACATCAGGTCTAAAAGTTGAAAGAGGTGGGCTACTACTTCCAGTACCAATTTCATTTTCCTGAAAACCACCTCTGTAACTGTTGTTACTCATTTCTGGGTCTGAACTAATATCTCCGTTTTCTTTTGTTACAGGTATATGATCCCCTTCCAAGTCAGTGCAGGAAGATTCTTTTTTAATTTCTTCAATAATCCAATTTCGAACAAACGTTATGCGATCTAACTCACCCTGGAGTTGATTAAGTTTTACCGTTAGTAATGTCAAGTCTTGGTTTAAGACATCGGTATGTTGCTGATCATAACACTTCAAACAAAACAGCTCTGGTGGTTCTGTGTGACCAAATTTGATCGAAAATGCACTCAACAACCTCTCCCTCGTACTCATTCCTGATCTGATTCGCTCAGTAAACCAACAATTAACCTAAATTCAATACCTGTCTGTGTGTTATTGTGTTAGCAAACAGTTCATGAATCCAATTGTAAAGAATATTAGATCCAACTTCTCATAGAACGCAATGAACTGTCCAACGACTAAATCATGTGTACCATCTGAACACTTTAACTAAACACTATACTGTAGATCACTCGAAATGTTTTGATTATGCAGTGCTCACGCCAGAGGGCGCATTCCTTTGGTAGGAAGGTAGGAAAAGGATTAGTACTGGTAGCGGACCACAGAACTAAGGGTACAGTATTTATTTATTTATTTATTTATTGAACATATTTATACAGGACAACGTATCAGGAGGGGGTATAACCTGTTTAATGATACAAAATTATAAAAACTACAAATCGCATATTATGCAACCGCAAAGAGACATAATTACAAATATGATAAAAAGCATAATCTAAAAACGCAGAATAGGCCTAAATTGAATTTTGTTAAAATACATCGAAAAAGTTCAAATCACAGTAAGGGTAATTAAATGAATAGTAAAACTATTTCTCTAATAATAAAATTGTAAAATTTATTAGTAAACGTAATGTTAATAGTAAAATTGTTTTAAGGAATGTATACAGTTTGGTTGATAATAAAACTTGTAAGTGTAAGAGTAGTATTTTAAAAGTGGTATCTAACAAATTAAGATTGTATTATCGTGTTTGTTGTACGACAAATACGAAAGCTACAAGCAGATAAAATTAAAATATAACACTGTTATATCAGGAATTGAAAAAATACATTTATCATTTATTAGATTAGATTTATAATTATTAATAACAATATTATCATTATTTAAAAATATCATAATAATTATACTATCATTATTTTAAAATAGGCCTACCATTTTCGTTGAATTGCTATTAATCCATTATAATCATCATTAATTTAGTTGTCGATTATTATCATTATCATCATTTATCATCATCATTTTCATCATTATCATCATCACAAAAAATGGTAATATGCCGCTCATTTCTAAATACGTGCAATTGCATTATTACGTGTGGGAAGTAGTATGTCACGTTATGTTAATGAGTTCCGTATTTCGTCACTATGGAGCAACATTATTCACCAGTATGTTTCCTTAAGTAGGCCTATGCTGATTTGTCTTAATAGGTAGTTTTCGCCGCAAGACGTTAACCTTAACGTTCACGGATGACGTCATAATTTATTCATCTTGCGTTGCGGAGTACGTTAATTTTAGGATTTTACGTGCTCGACGCGACGGTTTGTGTATGAAGTATTTCGATCTGTTTACAAAAGGGGCGGAATTACCGCGTTGCGTTGTTATTAGTTCCGCTTTTCAGATGGGCCTTACTCGGATGTGAGGTGGATCCATGACTCAGGGAGTACATGTTACAGTCATACTGATTTTGAAAAATTCAAAAATGATAATAAAACAATAACATCACAAAGTTCAACACAATATTCTGGCTATCAGTTTAACGAGAGGTGAATTCATCACCGACCACATTACCGTAAATGCCGGTATGTCAACGATGACGTCACACTAATACTTCGCTTAACACATTTATTTACTTATTGCTTCAGAAACAATAGGCGCACTTATCTATAAGTAACAATTAGACAATTAAATCAGTTACTACGTGTAATGGTTAGGCAAACTATATGAAATATTTCCTCAAACGTTTTGCTATTTGTCTTATGTTTGTTAAATCAAGACACGTTCCTGTACATAGGTTAAAATTCTCATTCAAATTTGGCGTAATTCTATATATCTTCGGTTCGAAGTTGTTTATTTTTTACGGTTTTAATCTGCATGAATTATTTTGGTAGGTTACTGTATTGTGAACTGAAACCAAAGATTTCTCAAATTGGAGAACATTTTTTAAGAGACAGAGGCGTAATGATGATGGTGATGATGATAACATTATGGAAAAAGCTATGGTTGATCAATTTAAACATATAATTCACGACAAAGACCACCCTAACCTTTAGCTCTAATCAAGATGTTTAGTAACTCCATAAAACCAAAATCAAACCGTTAATTCCTACCGGCTGCAAAGATAGTTAATGACAACTTTGTTAGACAAAAATGTGCTCTGTATATTTATTTATATAACCACCTGAAATGCATTGTATTATAGGCCTAATAGTACTTGTACTCTATGAAAATTCTATTTTTGTACCCACGTGTATGCATGGAGGAAGGAAATTTAAATTTCCTTCCTCCATGGTGTATGTAACAACTAAAATTAATCTTAAAATTTGAATCTGATTGAGTGTGCACACACGCTGATCATCCTTTCCATTTATTGTATTAATTCTTATTCAAATAACCCTCCCGGGGCGTTTATTGTCGATATTTTTTTAGAGGGGTTTTATGAGAGAGGGAGAGAGAGAGGGGGGAGAGCGTGCGGGGTGGGGTGAGAGGTGTATATTCGAGGGAGGCGTTTACCGGTAGGCCTATTTATTGGTGTAAAATGGATATGTATATACTGTACTCACATAAACTCTCCTTAATGTCACCTTAAAATAGTACAACTCATAAGGTAATTACACGCGATATTTTATTGCGTGATCATAAGATTCGCAACCAGGTTAAACAAAATGTAATTTTCTGCTTGAATAGAACATTAATGGAATGTGTTGAGAATAACGTTGCATCCAATAGTTTTGTTTACAGCATTAATGGGGGACGTTTATTAGAATGAGGCACTTATTCCAAGTTAGGATTTTGAGTGAAGTGTATTGAAGAAGGAATTTATTGAAAACGGGGCGTTTATTCGAATGATACGGCATTTTAGAATGCGCTCACCCCTACCACTCTCTAGTGTGATGTTTCCCTCTGAAATCTACGTAAAGTATGTTACCATAAACATATATTTGCGTTGGTGATCACGTGATCTTCTGAATGAAAATAATATAGAAGAAATTGCAATCATATTAGATATTGGATTATGACCGATGAGGGGGATATATATGAATATGATATTACCGTACCTATCGGTTGTGAAGAGTGGGGTCGTTTACTATACGCAGTTTAATGGAGTTATTAATTCAATTGAAAAGCTTCCTCGTTTTTCGGGGATGCATAAATAACGTTCTTATTGTATGACCATATGAATCAACTTATTTTAGCGAAAAAAACCTAGAAAACGAATTTGTTGCCATTTTGTCTCATAATTCAAAGCGTCCAGATTCAGAAAATTACGTCATTTAGCTTGGCAGATTACAACATTCTCTCTAAACATTATAAAATCTGAAATCCGTATGTATAAGTGACGTTATGTCCCTCTTTAGGCCTACTTCCAAACCCAATGAACCCCTGGTTCTAATGCTGTACATGCCTATTGGGCCTATCAATGTTACGGCTATACAGTCAGTTAGGCGTAGTTGGAGCGAGCCTCCTCTAATATTATAATTGAATAATTACGGTTACCAAAAAAATTTAGATGGATAAATTTACACATGTTTCGAGAAAAAAAGTATAGAAACATACAAAGTTGTAACTACGAGGGAATTGGGTTGCATAATGACATTTTAGAAACAAAAACCTCAAGTTAGTTAAAAGCACTTTTAATATTTTTATACAGAAAAACTCAGGCAAAAAGAAGCGTTTGATCTTAATTCAGTTGTTTGGTGTGTAAGTAGCTATCAAGTCAAGTATATATATATATATATATATATATATGCTATGTATAATATGTTAAAGCGAATATTGATAGTAAAGGAATACCATTAGCATACCAATCTATATAAATGTTGTATTCATTTATAGATGGTCGGAGGAGGTAGAGCCAAGTAGCCTATACTCAAGACCTATGTACCAAATATACTAAAGTGATATTGCAGACTGAGGGGAAAAGCCCTAGCAGTTAGCAAGACTTAGTAGATGAATTGTACTTCGAATGCATTGTTACAGTGATAAAGAATCGGGAGGAATAGCAAAACACTTTGTCACTGGATTTACGAACGAACTTATAATTTATTAAAACCAGTTAATTTTATATATATTTTGTTCTGTGTCTTATTTTCGATCAATGTCGTGGCAGACCACAACCACCGCTGAACGGCACGAGTCTCCTTAATTCCCAAGGCCTGGAACGTCAGGAACCAGATATCGAAGCACATAAAACAAGTACATGGACTTCAGAATACTACTGTAGAACTGTGGTATCAACTAATGCTGAAAACGTTGACAATCACACTATAGCGGCAGTATCCCTGGTGGCACTTGATGATGGAGAAGTTCGGGTTCACATTTTTATGGTAGCACTTGTGACGTACGTCACATAATTTTGAAGAGGCTCGTTATCACACCCACGATGGTAGACCCCAAATATTTGAGTCTTTTGAGGATTACCACGAATACTCACATCCAAACTATCTTGTGCTCACACCAGGTCATGTGGCTCAGCAAAAAACAGATGATAGGCCAACTACTTCTTAGGATTACCATGAATACTCGTATCCTGATGATCCTGTGCTGGCACCAGGTCACGTGGATCAGAAGATACCAGAGGATACTTATTTAAAGGAATAACATGAATACTTCTAACCAGATGATCATGTGCTTGCACTGGGTCACATATTGCAACAGCAACAAGTGAACACTTCTTTTGTGGATTACCATGAATACTTCTACCCAGATAATCCTGTGCTTGCACTGGGTCACATATTGCAACAGCAACAAGTGAATACATCTTTTGAGGATTACCATGAATACTCGTATCCAGATGATCCTGCGCTTGCACTGGGTCACATATTGCAACAGCAACAAGTGAACACTTCTTGAGGATTAATACGAATACTCGTATCCTGGTGATCCTGTGCTTGCACCAGGTCACAAGGTTTAACAGCAACACGAGAATTACTTCGCTGGCGACGAAGAATACAGCATCCTTGAAGGCAACTTTGACAGCGATACCAGTGATGCAAGTGATCCTAGACCTTTCTATTGTACAAATTATAAATCTGAGGGTATTCTTGAAGGCAAGGTTGGTGACAGGAAACACGATGATAGCAATACTAATGACGCAGATCCTAAACCATTCTATTTCACATTGAACAAATCTGATGCAAGTTTTGAAGGCAACATTGATGACAGTAATGCTATGAGGCAGACGATCATAGACCATTCGAATTTACACTGAATAGAAGATAGACCTACCCCTGGTACTAGCCTTGAAGTACAACGCTGAGGAAAGGAAACTAACAATAGTGATGATTCTAGACAAATCTAGTAGCACATTGAATAAATCTGATGTTATATAGCCTTGTGAATTAGAAGGAATGTTTGGGAAAAGACGGTAATCGGTTAGATAACAGTATTGATTCATTTAAAGAATAAACGTCAAGGATGATGTGAATCATAGCAGGAAAGTTGAAGAGGGTAACCACAACGAAGATTAATTACAAAAGTACTAACCGATATTTATAATGCTATATGATATTATCTGTCAAAAATGTTCATCACCGTTGTATATATAATTACATAGATTGCCTATATTGGCCTTTTTTGGCGGCTAGGTACGCTGATTTATTGAATATTTATCTACCGTCACCAGATTCTACCTAATAGATCTGATAAGTATCAGTTTCGGTGACATCACCATTCATCACTTTCACTGTTATTTTTATTGCCACTTTCATTTTCATTGTCATTTATTTAATTCGACTTCACACAGGCAAGAATATAAGTGAGATAAAGTTGCCGGTGACGGGTAAAGCACAAGAAGTAAATAATCGCACTTTTGATTTTCAACAGGCTTACACTGATTGCTTCGATATCCAGGTTGTCATATTTTGAATCAACTATGTTCAGCTGTGTGACATTTTGGATGGCGAAAAGTTGAATTTTCCTGAATGAATGAATAAATTAATTTTTATTTCAAGAGAAGAAGATCACAGTTACATAATAGAGTACGTGTCGGAGTTGAGTATAGTTTTATTTTTGTATCCTAATTAGATCAAAATACAACGGCGCTAGACCCTATTCCTACTTTATAAAGCTACACCAGTCATCGAAACTATGAAAAGAAACGGATACCGAAAATAAACCCAAAATTTCCAGGCAATTTAAATAGGTTTTAATATGTTTTGTTATTAACAGTACTCAATTGTTTCGTAAGTTAAGCGATTGTGTGTTTCATTATATATCTTAACATCTGCGAACAAGTAACTTTTATATTAGTGTAGCAAGAGACACTGAAAAAAGAGATAAAATATCGACTAATGGACTTGTGTTTACTCTCTACTAGATGATATAAGTAAATTTGTCTGAGATACTTTCGACTTTATGATAAGAATATGAAATTTACCATAGTGCTATCACTCTTTTGGATTCTAAGCGATGCTATGTCATGTCCGCTCGGTAAGGTGGTCTGTTGCCAGTATATAAACAACACTTCCTGCCAGTACGCCTGCACAGCACAATCAATATGTATAGTGAACTTGACTAGGTGCTTACAAGAAATGAATTCTAGGCATACTCAGGTAACTTGTGGTAACTCAATAGGCATGGGTGTATGTTTAATAAGAGATCATAATCAGGATATTTTTTATATATGCAATGGAGCGGAAGTGATTATGGTGCCAGACGAACAGGTAGTCCCGACAAGTAAGGAATCCGATTCACAATCGTACGCAGCATCGGGGGAGGAATCCATAGCGTTGCTGGAAACACTCAATGATGAAGTGTACAAATGCGTTACAAAGTGTGAAGAACTGAAAGGTAACATTGATTTTCCAAATGAAGGACCGAGCCTTCCACCTACCACTTCCAGTCCTACAGAACGGCAGACAAGTTTACCAACTCGTTATGCAAATAATGACAAGAATCTTTCATCTGCCACTTTTAGTCCTACAGAACGACAGACAAGTTTACCAACTCATTATGCAAATAATGACACGAGTCTTTCATCTGCCAGTTTCAATCCTGCAGAACGACAAACAGGTTTACCAACTCATTATGCAAATAATGACACGAGTCTTTTATCTACAGTCTCATATCAACATAAACGGAATAAGATTAAGACTATTGTCTGTGTTACAATAATTGCATTTTTGATAGTTATTACCATCTTTGGAGTTTTGTGTCAAAAACGACGTAAAAAAACAAGGTAGGTCACAATTTCTAAAATTTTACTTTTACTAGTTTTAAACTAGAAATGAGACAATCACATGACTGGTGGAAATTCGCTTAACCTTTCTCTTCGATAAATCTTAACATATTATTTTCGTTGGAGGAAAAATGTCCTAGGCAAAGATGAGACGTTTGGTGAATATGACAGCCTGGAGTAATTGTCCCAGATGAAAAGGACCGACATTCCCAACTGTTAGTCTTCAGCATTAGAGTCTTTATGGAACGGTCTATACCGTACATATTTATTAATAATGAACTATGCCATATTAAAACTTGGTAAATCGCCAGGACATAATTGAGTAGCATAAAAGGCTTGACTAAGCCTCTATTCGGGTAGGCCTTTTGAGTTCTTCATATTTAGATGTCTCAATATAGAAAATGATACTGTCCAGTTTTATTCATAACAATCCACGTGTGGGTGTTAATCCAAATGCCGAATGCAGGACTTCCATTACAAACTCTAGATATCGAAGTATCGGCAATCGGTTGTTACGTCTCACGTGTGTATGTACCGTATGTATTAAGATTATAAAGATAACTTGCTATGATGTAAAGACAAATTGTGGGTGTTTTCAGAACTGCAGTGAATATACATATGGATAATCAAACATCGACAACAGATCTGAAATTGTTGAGCTTAGAAACAGGTTTGCAAGGTAAATATAATTTTCAACAATAAAAAAATATGAAGAAGTAGGGCTGGCTTTACGAAATACCAAGTGTAATGCAATAAATCAAGAGCACGTACAAACTCGTATTTTGAAACATGTCAACATGTACGTACTATTATGCACGTTGTTTTTTCTCCAACAATATCGGACTGTTTTAATTTTTTTATACGATTCTATTTGCTAGTAATTGGTAATGACAATTCACGAAGCCATGACGATGATCATTCGATTACGCCCAACTCAACACACCGTCAACTAGAGCAACCCCAACCACAGCAGTTCGCCGACCACGCGACACAAGTACATGGACTTCAGGACACTAAAACTTTGGCGTCACTCGATGCTAAAAACGTTAAAATCCACACTTCCGAAGCAGTATCTCTGATGTCGCTTGGAGGTGGAGAGGTTCGGCCTCACATTCCTAGGGTAACACTTCTGACATCACAGAATGTTGAAAAGGCTCAGTATCACACCCATGATGGTAGAACCCATATATTTGAGTCTTTTAATGATTACCATGAATACTCGTATCCGGATGATCCTGTGCTTGCACATGGTTACTGGGTTCAACAGCAACCAGAGGATTACTTTTCTGGAGACGAGGACTACAGCATACATGACAAGGTGCGGACCTCTAAATCATCTGCTGACAGCAATACCAATGACGCAAACGATCCTAGAACAGATCCTACACCATTCTATTTTACATTGAATGAATCTGTTGGTAGTTTTGAATGCAACATTGATGACGGGAAACTAACCTCTCATGTACAAACCGAGGATAGCAATATTAATGACGCAGATGATTCTAGACCATTCTATTTTACATTGAATAAATCTGGTACAAGTCTTGAAGGCAACATTGATGACAGTAATGCTACTGAGGCAAACGATCATAGACCATTCAAATTTACATTGAACAGACCTACCCCTGGTGCTAGCCTTGAAGACAATGGTGATGACAGGAAACTAACCTGTAGCGTAAAACCCTAGGACATCAATAGGGATGACGCGATGATTCTAGATCATTCTATTCTACATTGAATAAACCTGATGCTAGTCTTGTGAATTTTAAAGGAATGCTTGGGAAAAGAAGGTCGGTAAACGAATGAACGTGTAACTTGGTAATGTGAATACAAAAGAAATTTAAAAAAATCATAGCACACACAAAGTGTTGTTAGAAAAGAACTAACCGATAGGCCTATGTATAAAGCTATAATATCATAAATATAGCTTTAAAATGTTTGTACAATGATCCTTATTGTTGTAGTTATCATTACCTATATCGCAAATAATTTGTTAAATATTCTACCATCTGTATAGACTCTCGGCATTACAACTCATTATTACCATTATCGTTATATGGTTCTTTTAAATATATCGATTATATGCTTTTGGCTGGACATATTCTTAACAGTGACATACCGTAAGCAAGCGACGAAAACAACATTTGGTGAACACAATACTCAGTTGTCAAGTTACCATACCTTTTGCGAAGTAGTTATTAGGGTCTACCCCTACCTTAAACTTAAAAAGGTAGTATTTAGAGGCAAAATATTAGTCGTGGTGGCGGAGATCATAGAGCTACTGTATAAAAAAAAATGTTAAAAAACCCACAAAATTCGAAGTCAAAACTACAAACTTTTGGCAATTTAAGTCACACAAAACGTTATTGATAAGTTAATTAAATTAGTAATAACCAATCTATTTCTTAAGCTAAGCATAGAATCTACTCTTATTAAGTTTCAGTTCATCTCCACTTTGTAATAAATCGTATCAGAATACATGTTTAGGGTCAAACGCTTTTGATTCGCCTAGTGGAAAATAGTGATAATGTCAAAGCGATACTCAGAATGTTTATATGCATATAATCATGTACGGTACTGTCGTTATGTAAATTGTATATGTAACCTTACACGATAATTATAGTAGGCCTATACATTATTATTAGCTTAAAGTGCAGCCATTAGATCATAATTATATTGATTTACTTTGTAGGTGTATACTTATCCGATTTAGCAGTAAGAGCATTACGTCATATAGCATACATACACATTTGTTTTTCACCGAAGGAAATTACTTTTCTTTGGAAATTTTAAAGGCGCCATATCATTGTAGATATTGCAAATAATAACAAAACTGATCTGATTATGTTAATTAGGCCTATAGTTATTTCCTTATAAACCGTTATCGCATATCACACGATCGAAGAAGCCTTGGCACTGGTGAATCTGGGAGAATAAAGCGAATATCTTGTTATATTATTTGTTCTTGTCTTTCTTTGAAGTTGTATGCCTATTTATTGCCAGTACATATCCTTTAAATTATTGGTTCACAACTGGGGTCCGCAAAAATTATTTAGGGGTCCGCCAATTCAAAAGGGTCCGCAGGTGGCCCGCGAAAAAATTGGGGGTCGCCGAAAATATTTAGTCTCCGCCAGATTTTAGACCAATTTTTCATGATTCCATTAATTTTCTTGTCTTACAACAGTGTGATAAACATCTTACTGCTAATCATTAAGTGCTTAATTATCAATAATGAAATAATCTTTGACATAGGCATAGACTTCTTTCACTGTAAATTGTTTTAAATAGCAATTATTATTAGAATTAAAATAGAACATTTATATAGCGCAGCTTTCCGCCAAATCTTACGCTCATGGCGCTTTTGAAAATGTTTTATCGGATATAATTATGCAACAGAGAAAAGGAATGTTTTTAACTCTCACTTTAGCTTCCAAGATCTTGTGGCATCCTGATGTGGATGGGGAGATTATTTCATACTTTTGCCGATGCTACAACAAAAGAGAGTTCGCCCCACCTGGTATTTGATGATATTTCAGTGCGCAGTCCCAGACTGGATGATCTAAGTCCTGTTCTCGATGATTTACATTTATTGAAAAGTTCTGCAAGATATGAATGGCAATGTCCTTTGAGAACTTTAAATTATATTTTAATTCCAATTGGTTTCTTATCTGTTTGAATTGTTTATATTTGTTTTTATGCATACTTTTATGTAAAGATGTTTAGAGTAAGATAGCCACTTGATAGTGTTTGCACCTCTGGTGATATTCGAATAATGAACATCTTGTTTGCATATTTTGTCTTGTATTGCTTTGACCTGCATATTAAATAAATTAAAATCATCAGGATAGGGCCCTGAATTTTACAAAATTAAAAATATGTTGGGTATAAATAAAATTACCATCTAGAAATGCCATAGACGTATTTCCATTTCAAATTTCAGGATCCAAAATGTTCAATGGTTTTTTTTTTTTTTTTTTTTTTTTTTTTTTGGGCGATCATCGACTATATCGTATTGTCGGAATATTGACGATGAGTAATACTTAGACACAGGGGTCCATAAAGACTTTAAACATGGTAATAATAAGAAAAAAAAATCATAATATAAATTATATTAATAACGATAAGAATGATAATATAATTATTATACAAACAATATAATTTCCTTGTATTTCAATACAAGAATTTTATAATAATAATAATAATAATAATAATAATAATAATAATAATAATAATAATAATAATAATTTGTTTTTATGCATACTTTTATGTAAAGATGTTTAGTGTAAGATAGCCACTTGATAGTGTTTGCACCTCTGGTGATATTCGAATAATGAACATCTTGTTTGCATATTTTGTCTTGTATTGCTTTGACCTGCATATTAAATAAATTAAAATCATCAGGAAAGGGCCCTGAATTTTACAAAATTAAAAATATGTTGGGTATAAATAAAATTACCATCTAGAAATGCCATAGACGTATTTCCATTTCAAATTTCAGGATCCAAAATGTTCAATGGTTTTTTTTTTTTTTTTTTTTTTTTTTTTTTTTTTTTTTTTGTTTTTTTTCGGTTTTTTTTTTTTTTGTGATTTTTACATGTTTGATTTATTTATAAC